AAAAGAATATATATATACGCGTTTAAATGAAGCATAAATTAGGAGATTATATATGTAACCGAGTTAACATGGATCGAGGGGAAAGCTTACACAAATGAATCCATAAAAGTTCGAGATTATTCGGGCAAAGGATATGAAAGGAAAGAACTTGTTGTTTGATATATGGTTTGGGGAGGTGCCGACTCGGTGGTAGAGCAGTAGTCTCGTAAGCGCTAATTGTGCACCAATCCCCATTTATTTATAAATAAATGGGGATTGGTAATACCCTCGGAGATGACTTGAAGCCGTCAGTCCCCTGGTTGCTTAATGCATACAGATACTTTCTTAGCAGACAGTTGAAGAAAAAAAAAACATTACTGATGATCTAGATCCCCAGACTGCATATATATATATGCAACTTTCCGTTCATTGGAATATAAGTCTCACCTTCCTGGTATTATTAAACTAGTTCGCAATCCTTTGAATGAAACATTCTTCTTTTCACGGGAGAATTAGATATCAGAAAAATGGTTGTTTCCAGCATTACAAATATAAGTAAGGCACTCATAAGTAACACCCGTTTACTTTAAAGTAGTGTACCCATCAACAATTTGTTTTTTGTTTTTTGGTATGGCACCCATAAATGCTCGCATAATTAAAGGGCTTGCATGGCTTGCACGCACGGAACCCAGTTTTGACCATAGACACAATCAATGATTCCGACTTGAATTGGATTCCGGACGAGCTGTTTTATGTTATTCTTTGTTTTCTTCATATACTTATTGCGCTAGCCCATAGAAAGCATCTTTAAAAGACTGATTTAATCGGGGATTTTATTCACTCTGGCTGTACATATTTTTTGTTTAAAGGTGATTGATACACTTTGACATGTCAGGGGTATTCATAGTATTTTTGTTGAAACCCACCCACCCCTTTTTCTGTCATAATTGTGCTCTGTCTCCAATTTCTTTTTATTTACCTCTTTTTCATATATATACTTTTCTTTTCCATCTCTATCTCTCCTCCCCTTTGTCTTTCTCTCTTACTCGCACATTCTCTCCATCTCTTCCCCTATCCTTCCCTTCTCTCTCTCTCTCTCCCTCTCTCTTCCATTTTACCACTACTGTGTCCTCCTTGTCCCCCTATCAAACATCGACGTTACCTAGTCTTAAAAATAGAATTTAATTGCACATACTACTGTTTTTCTTGACCTAATTCTAAAAATGTCATCCCAAAAATGACAAGCATTACATTGACTCACTGAGAAAATGAAGATAAAGAAGAAGAATAAGAAGACAAAGAAGGAAAATAATAATAATAATAAGAAGAAGAAGAATAAAAAGAAAGGAAGACAAAAAAAGAAAAGCTTTGAAAACTGAGATCGAAAAGTAAGACACAACCATCTTATTATTATCATAATTAGAATATATTTGTATCATTTGATATCTTTGCATGTATACTATTCACAATAAAAATGAATAAATACAATTGCTAACAGGACAAACAATCAATATGGCATGGACATATTCATACACTTTATATACTTAATGCACCAACGATGAAGAAACAATAAATCATCAAAACTCACACCTCCCTGAACAAAACACAATGTCAAAATACTAAATTGCCAATTTGGTCAAATGCAAAATAATCCAATCCCAAATCAGTCTCTCATTTTCATCTACACTTACTTCCATTCTCTATAACTTTATAATCTTTGAAGTCGTTTCATCTAATTTTCACTTTGTCCTCCATTCATTTTGATTAATGTCTATAATAGGCTTTGACCAATCCTGACTAAAGCCAGGCATACACTATAACATCCACCTGCAGTCTGATTATCAATGCATTGGTATTTATATTAGACATGGAAAGCTAAACAAACATTGTCTTCATGATTTAGGTTTTAAATAATGATAAGAATACTGACTTTGGAATTTTAATGTCTTAAGGCCTTCTATTCAGAATAAAAGCTGAATTGGCTTCAAACTACTGGCTTTTCCTCCTCATAGAAAGCTCGAAATCAATTGAAATTCAGAATCTATTTATGATGAGACTACTGAGATCCTTGATCATTAATATCTTACAAGTTTGAATGTTCATATCCGATGTTATATACCTCATTTTAAGATTCTTTACTAATCCTGTCTTCTGATTGGTTGAAAATGCAGTCATGTTCTTAACCATGCCCGCTAATTGAAATTCATAGTCATTTTTCCCGGCTCTACCGGTTTATATCCATTTTTCATAGCACTTTTTCCATGGCTGTGAAACGTTGACGTCATTTTGCTGCGATCCCCATTTTGGTTTATGTGTTACCGTATAAGTTTCTTTTGTGCGATGACCGATGCGCAATACCGTTAACGGTGTTTGAGTGCAATTCGATTTTGGTCGCTGCATTCAGGCGACGAATCTACCAATCCACGCAGCGCAGACGACCGATCGCCATTTTGTGTACTAGTCTCGATCGCAAAATACTGGGTTTTTTTGTTTCCAATTGTGTTGGTGTTAATATTCATGACTTCAAAGAGATGGAAACCTAAATGGGTGAGTCAACATTTTCCTTTTTTTCGGTATATAAAATATATATTGACTGCTTTTAATATTCGAGGCATAGTTGTTTCTATAGGGTCTCGGGAAACTCACAACCTGCTATGACCCCGCGGCGCAAGCGCCTTGGGGTCATAGCAGGTTGTGAGTTTCCCTTGACCCTATAGAAACCACTATGCCTCTCAAAGCAGTCAATATATCCTTACTATTGCAAATTCTTCCCAATTGGATTGTGCAGTGTGTGCTGAGCCTAGGATTGTATTACATAGATAATAGATAAACAGTGTGTTGCCAATGTGATTAGACATGATGAACAACATATCGATTCAGTGGTTATCAACAGAATGGTACAACGATAATAACAATAACAGTAATAATATTGGATAATTTTATAGCATTCACATCCACTGTGCAAGTAGTCAAGGGACCCGTTTCAAAAAGCCTTCTTTCAATGACAAATGACTAAACTCAGTGACAAATCTGCTGATAACCAATCAAAAGCAAGGATTTCAGTAGCTTATAACAAAAACTGTCATTTGTCGCTGATGACAAGTTTTGTGAAATGGGCCCCTGATTCAGAGGGTCATATGAATAGGCAAATTAACACATACACAAACACAAACATGGCAAATAACAACAATGATTGAAAAATACCACAGGATCGGTTCCATCCATGACATCACAATGAATAAAAATTTTCCACTTTGGCAAATATATTAAATATCAATAGTTAAATAGTATTTCTCTCATTGCGTATGTACATGTACATGTTTACACTGCCATGTACATCATGCATACACATTTTGTTTTTAAAGTAATACAAAGTATTGGTATGGGGTCATGAATTTGGTTCAAATGAAAAATATTGAAAGCATATGCCATTTTACAATATTCAATGATCGTTGTCGCGGTTGAAATCAAGTCTAAAGTCAACAATGTTTCAAAAAATAAAATCAGCATTTACGATTTTCTCTCATTTACAATATGTACAAATAATCTCTATACTCTAGAATCCAATCATTTTGCATATTGAATAAAACATGATTTTCAATGCCCATTTCTGAAACATACATTCTTATTTTGATGGGCAGAGTGCAATCTTCTAGACCCTGTGTGCTGAATGTAAATATCTGTGTTGGAGGATCTAGTTCCACTGGGTACATGGTCTAGTGTCAATGCAGACATACAGTTAACAACTAAATTATTCATACCCTTTGTAAATCAAATGTTTTTTTTGGTGATTTTTCTTAACTCAGGAATGAAACGCGGACTGATTGAATTACAGCCTCCATTGAACACTTTTAGATGTAAGCTTTAACTTGTCACATTTTCAAGAAACATAAATCGGGACAAATCAACTTTTCAAATGATTCAAAAATTACAAAACTTGATAAGTGTATGATTGCACATACATTGTTCGTAAGCCTGGCAGACTAGAAAATCTGAGGAATCTATTTGAGTGTGATGGGTGAACAGATCTATGGGGCATAGTGTACATGTCTCGTGGCCAACTGGTAGGCTATCTAGAAGGATCTACTTGAACATATGCGATACAAAGATACATCAGCCTTAGTGGTGCCCCAGACATACAAGAAGGCTTAACTGATGGGGTAATAACGTTTCTGTAAATTACCATGATGGAGAAATTGTAGATGTATTAACTGTTATGTAAGGCCAGATTATTATTATTATAATTATTAGGTTAGGAGAATGTACTTGAGCATAATGGATGAGACAATCTCTTGGAATCTTTATCTTATTGTAAATGCAGACATACACATAGATGTACGCAACAGACTGGTAGGTAATGAGAATCAATTTGACCTCGGTGGACATGTTGGTCTCTCAGTCTCTGTGTTGATGCGGACATATATGTACCGGTAGTTGAGCGAGACTGATCAGAAACATCTTGAAATAGTACATGAGTTAGTATATCATTTTCATTTTCATTGGAAGACTGGTAGGCCAGGAGAATCTCCCTGTCAGTCTCTCAGTCTTGGTGTCCAAACAGACAATCGTGAGGGTAGCTGATCAGCGAGGAGAATATGCTTGAGCAAGATTGATGCCTCGGTCTCTTGGACTTCCAGACATCTAGACTAGGTGAGGGAAAGCTGATTGATTCAGGAAACCTCCTTGAACATAGTGGATGTCAAGATATCTAAATATCTTGCGTTGAGGAAGACATAAGCCTAGACTGTTGAAAGGTCTTTTGATAGATTAGGAGATCCTATTTGAGATTGTGGATGTCAAGATATCTCTCTCTTCTTGTGTTGATGAAGACATATGCTTGGATGGTTGATACATGTAGATCCATTGACAGGTTAAGAGATCCTTATTTGAGCATAGTTGATGTAAAGATATCTCAGTATCTTGTGTTGACAAAGACATAAGTTTGGACAGTGGATAGGTCCATTGATAAGGTAGGAGATCCTATTTGAGCATAGTGGATGTAAAGATATCTTAGTCTCTTGTATGATGAAGACATAGGCTTGATAGGTCTATCAACGGGTTAGGAGATCCTATTTGAGCATAGTGGATGTGAAGATCTGTTGCATAATCTGTGGGATTGTCTTGGTGTCCATACACACAAACCCATGCCCTGCTGGAAGGTTACGAACCAATCTAGGGGAAAAGAACAGATAAAGAAAACAATGCATCAACATAAAAAGCATGTTTTTTGCAGTAAGAAAATTACCGGTAGACATAAACTTCTCCCATACCGGTCCAACGTGATGGAAATAATGCAAATTTACTTTTGTTTGGGATATTCATCAATGTTGTTTACAGCATCGTACAAGAAAAAGAAAAGGAACGTTATAGCAGACAAAATCTAAGAATGTACAGAAGAAAGAAACTTTGAAGAAAAGGAAAAGGTAGAACAATTGAATATAAAAAAAGGAGATCCATTAGAAGTTGTGGTATTTGTGTAAATGGTAATTGCCATCAAACATGATTGCCTTTCAAGAAATTAATCTAAAAAGAAATTTCAACAGCCTTGTGGATCATTAATCAAAATAAGGCAAACATTACTGAACAAGATTTCCAAAGAATGCCAAAGAATAGGGAATCAAAATTGTCCTAAGTTGGTTTCTTGGCAGTCTTTCCTATCACATCCATGGCTAACATTAAGGGCATTTTGTTGGCTCAAATCCAATGGAAACTTCAGTGTCATCTTGCTTACCTCCCTGCCTGGTCTCCGATGGACCCGATAAAGATGGCGTAGGCATTGACATCTTCGTCTTGCTGCATGACACGGGACAGGACCTTAGGACTGATGCCATACCGATCTAGGTTAGCATCACTCAGGATGATGACAAAGTATTCATCAGCCTCCTCCTTGGTGATGTCTTCGATGGCCGTCTTGGCTGCCTCTACGGTGTTGTCACCGCTCAGACAGAACTGAGCATGAGCGTGGAGGTTCTACAATGTAGGGGAAGGAATAAAAGAAGAAGAAATCGTTAGGATTTTGAAGGATTAATGTCTCTAAAGTACTCATCAACCTCCTCCTTCATGATGTCCTTCGCATCTGCTTATACAGCAATAACTGCAATCAAACAACTTTGGGTAAAGCAGATCAATTTTGAAAGGATAATTTGGTATCTAAGTGGAAATTACTTTATACAATATCATCACTTAGATCACTGGTAATTCAAATCATATGACTGCCACCATGTTGTGATAGAGACATATAATTTTATCCCACCTAAAAAAACCCCCAAACAATCAAAGAGCATACAAAAACAAACATACAACAACAGCTTTATCAACAACAACAACAACAACAACAACACAACAACAATAACAACAACAACAACAACAACAACATCAACAGCAACAACAACAATTCAACTAAAATGTTGGATGTCCACTCTGCTCCAGACTTACCCTAAGAACCTTGAGTCTCTCATTGTTGTTCTTTGGAACCTTGTCTGATTTGAGGAAGATCTCATCACACGTCTCTCCAGAGTGACCTACAATGTCATACTAAAAATCAAAGATAAACAAAATCACCATAAGTATTGCACACTGTTTGTTGACAGATTGGATAAGGTAAGAGAAGAGAGGGAGGGATACATGTAAATAGAGAGGGAAAGAGAGAGAGAGAGAGAGAGAGAGTTAGAGAGCGATATATAGAGAAAGAAAGAGAGAGAGAGAGAGAGAGAGAGATAGAGAGAGAAAGAGAGAGAGAGATAGAGGAGAGATAGAAAGAGAGATAGAAAGAGATATATATATATATATATATATATATATATATATATATAGAGAAAGAGAGATAGAAAGAGAGAGAGAGAGAGAGATAGAGAGAGAGAGAGAGAGAAAGAGAGAGAGAGAGAGAGAAAAAGAGATAAGGAGAAAGAGAGAGAGAGAGAGATAGATAGAGAGAGTGAGAAAGAGACATCGGTATGATAATCATTTTGACAAAAAGACAGTTGACAGAGGAAGAGAGAGCAAGGTGATAAGAGAATTGGGAAATTGAAGTATAAAAATAAAGATAATGTTGCTCATTCATAACATAATCTCTATAAGCAGTAAGTTTAGTTTAAATGAGGAGGAGGATGCTTGAGACAAGAAGAAATGGAGGGAGGGAGTGACATCATGGCGCAATAGTCAGTAACTGCTGACTTTAATAGATGGTGATATGGATCAATAATGGGTACAACCTTTCAAATAATTTTTCAAAATTATCATGCCAAAAGACGAAAGAATGATGACAGGTTTTCACAACAAGATAAGTGGAAAGATCAGACAATTTGGCACACTTACTGCAAACTTCTCTTCATAGCCTTCGAACGCTTCCATGGCCATACAGATAGCTTGCAGAGTACGGTCTAGACGTCCATCATGTCCGTTGAAGCGGTACATGCTACCACTCACATCTACAACAAGCTTTAATCGCTTTGGATGCTCCTGTGGGCTTCCCATCTGAGAGGGACAAAGACAAAAATAGATCAATTCAAAGAAGAGGATTTAACTTTTTTTATTTAGCATGCAATTCCTATTATTTTGACAATAGTGTGCTTATGATTCAGTTATGGAATTGATGATATGAAAGAGCTACCCTCTATCAATACCTATCTACTCTCTAAATATTGTTGTTACAACCTTTTGCTCTCTCTTCCATTACTCAGTCATTCTTAAATCCTTCTCATCTCACTCATCTTATCATGTACTTGTTATTTTTCTTCCTTCTCTTTCTCTTTATTCTATACTGTCTCTGTTTCTCTATCTGTCTCTGTCTCTCTGTTTCTATCTTAAGTTATTTTAATGATTGTTTTACCAGGCTGCTCAGAAAATATAGTATGCTTGTAAGTAACCAGCATGGGAGCTGACGGCTTGAAGTCCTACCCGAGGCATTTACATTAACAAAGGGCACGAATGCATGGACTTGGTTTCAAACCCGGAACCACTGCTCTACCACTGAGCCATCTCCCATCTATATCTCTGTTACTATCTCTGTCCCTGTTTCTGTTTTTCTTTCCCCCTCTCTCTCTCTTTCATTTTCTCTGTCTCTCTCTCTGTCTCTCTCTCTCTCTCTCTCTCTCTCTCTCTCTCTATATATATATATATATATATATATATATATATATCTCTCTCTCTGTCTCTCTATCTCTGTCTGTCTCTCTCTTTCTATCTCTTACCTCTGGATCTTGTTCACCCCTCCTCTTGTAGATAGCCTTCTCTCCAGTCAATCCTTCAATCAATTTAACTTCATCTAGATCTCCCGACGTCTGATGCTTGATCCACTGTCGCTCTTTGCTCTTGGCCTATGAAAACAAACGATTATCTGGAATTATACAGGGCACATTATAACAAAATATAACAGATTGACAGGTACAGACACAAACTATTTGCTTGTTCTTTTTTCCTCATATCAATGATAGTTGCTATGCAAGGCTAGCCTCTTGCAAGCTATTAGGTTGCCAATTGCAACTTGTATCAAACAGGTATCATGCATCTAGAATAAGGATACTTAATATTTTTCACAGATAATAAAACAGAAAATTGGTCAAAAGAGTCATGTACATGTACATAAATTATAGAGTTACAATCATTTGTATCTCTTTCAACCAATCATATTTCTATAATCAATAGTAAATTACAATCAATTTTACATTCCAAAAAGATACAATTCGTTTTAAGATACATTCAATTATAGCAGAATGACAATTCAAAAGAACTTAACTATTGAAAATAATATCGCTAGTGGTATTCATTGGTCTCGCCATGTATGGTCAACAAGGGATCTAAAAGATCACAATGTTTCGTGCGCCGCTGCAACACTTCGTCAGGTGATAAAACTTACTAATAAGAATTTACTTTACTATTGATTGTAAACATATGAATTGAAATAGATTTTTAGGTCTCTGGGCCCTCAAGGATTATGCAAAAGCTGAATTCGAAGCCATCAAGAACAATTTGATTAAAAATAATAAAACTAACATATTTATATAGCGCATTTTCCATATACATGTTCAAATGCACTTTACAATCATGCTGTTAATAGAAGAGGTGAGTTTTAAGATATTGAGAGATTGCTGGTTGCAAAGAAATCTGAGTGTATTTATTTGAAAAAAGAAGAAGATTGTACGAACACCTACCTGTAGACTGTCTAGGATGACCCTGAGTGATGTGACCTGTCTCTTCACGCCGTCTGAGAAGCGTTCATAGGTCTCTGCATCGTACTCGGACATCTCAATCTCCTTCAGTTTGGCCTTGTATGCCTTCTGACCCATCTCTCTAGCGGCTCTCCTCACCTGGATGAATGAATATTAATGTTTGTTTGTTTGTTCACCTGACTGCTAAGAAAGTATAATAATAATAATAATAGCCTAAACGTCCACTCCAAATTTTATTAAACCGAAACAGAAATTCTTTTTGCCCAATTGATCGTGGGCCCGGCAGCCACTGAGCAGCACCAGATCGATGTTGCTCTATCTCTTATTGTTGAACGCCAAACAAGGTAGCAACAACTCCCATCTTTTAACGTCTTTTGGTATGACGCGGCCGGGGTTCGAACCCACGACCTCCCGGTTGTGAGGCGGACGCTCTACTGACTGAGCCAACACTCCGGTCTGTATGTGTATGCTTGTAAGTAAGCTACCAGGGGACCGACAACTTTTAAGTCTTCTCCTTCTGAGGGACTTGGTAATGTAGATTAATACCTTACCAAAGGGCACTGGCACATTTCCTCACCTGGGTGAATGAATATAAATGTTTGTTTGTTTGTTTGACCTGACCACTAAGAAAGCATGTGTATGCTTGTAAGAAAGCTACCAGGGGACCAACAGCTTTAAGTCCTCTCCGAGGGACTTGGTAATGAGGATTAATACCTTACCAAAGGGCTCTAGCGCATTGACTTGGTTTCGAGCCCTGGACCTCCAGGTTACGAGACTACTGCTCTACCACTGAGCCATTGCGCCTCCTAACAGGAAGCGCAATGGCTCAGTGCATGCTTGAGGTATGATACCCAGATATATCTACATCCACATATATCAATCATTTTGTACCTGATTAATGTCCACTTATTGGCAACATATGAAACATAAAAAAACAGCACTCTATTGCAAATTCCCACTACATTGTTGAATTAAACTAATGGACAGGAGAACATTCAGTAGTCAATGAGGTAAAACACAGCCTTCATAAACAATAAAAACATTACACAATCAACCTTTTTATGAAAAAATTTGTACCAACATACATGTACAAATACAACGTTCGGTTAAAACATTAGCATCATTTTCTATACCACTATCACTATTGTGAAAATTTATGAAGTTTTGGTGAAGCTTTTGGAATGATCGAAATGAAAGGGAATTGACTTTGTCTTGCTGAAGATCACATGCATGTACACAGAAATGAGTACATGAGACTACATACTAAATGTTTCGTCCAAACCTTTGTATTTTCTTGCCATATATCAATTTAAAGGGGCATTTTAAAAGCAGTCCTTTTCAAGACATTTCTACATAATATGCTTCCAAACTGACATACACAAGATGACAAATCTCACAAACTATTTTTTGTCTTTTTTTGTCAAATTCTCTTAACGCATCCTTTATTACGGTATTGTTAATGTTTATGCCTTGAAGTTATAATATAAGATGGTACTTTAGATTAAGATGAGTGACCTCTGACCTCTTCAGGTACTGCATCCTTCGCAGCTTGAGTGACCTGATGTACATCATGACCTGCATCCAATCTGAAAGGTCCCCCTATACCACCTAGACCAGCCGTGTCTCGTCCTCCTATAGGTTCAACAAGAAATAGATGGTGTTTAAACTATTGACCTGCTAAAGATTCAAGATTTCATTCAATTGAATTCAATGATGTATATCATGACCAGCATCTAATCTGAAAGGTCCCCCTATACCACCTGGACCGGCCGTGTCTCGTCCTCCTATAGGTTAAACATGAAATAACTGGTTTTTAAACTATTCTAAGGATTCAAGATATCATTCAATTGAATTCAATGATGAACATCATGACCCGCATCCAATCTGAATGGTCCCCCTATACCACCTAGACCAGCCGTGTCTCATCCTCCTATAGGTTCAACAAGAAATAAATAGTATTAAAACTATTGTCCTTCTAAGGATTCAAGATTTCCCATACACTTTTACATGCACAAAGAGTGGCTGTTTCGAGCTGAGGTAAAAACTATTGCTCATAAGGTGACCTTGATACTTGAAACACGAACCTTAGACACACTGGCTACCTTTGTTCGCACCATTGATTGATTTTACAATTTTTACCTTCAATTTGATATTCTATTAGTTATGTTATTTATATATATATATATATATATATATATATATATATATATATATTTTTTTTTAATAGTTTTTTTAAATATTTTTTTTTTAATAGTTTTTTAAACATGATAAATATTATACCCATCCTCTTATTCCTGTCTTGTGTTTTTTTTCTTCTTATGTTTACCTTGATGTTTTTTGTGTTATGTTATCGGTTTTACAGTTTTACTTGTATGCTTGTTGTCGTTCTAGTTGAATATCTGCAATTAACTGTCTTATTGCTTGTTTGTTTTGTACATTAATCTGTTAGATATTTATTTGTTTGACTATACATGTAAATAAACATTGCCTTACTTCTTGCATTTGCATCGTTTTACAGATTATTGTATAATTCACTGTATATTTATTGTTATTTTTATGTTTGTAGACCCCTTTGAAAATCAGCTGTGCTGAAAGGGCCATCCACCCTATGAGAGGAAATAAATAAATAAATAAATAAAATACTGTGCAATTCCCAAAATTTAATAGCATGATGCAGTCTCAAAAAATCTCCAAATAAGGAGCAATAGACCGGTTTACTAACATATTTCAATAAATCATGTTTGACAGATATGATTAATTTATTGAACATTCAAAATACATTTTGGTCGATTCTGTGAAACTTATTGTTTGTCATCACCAAAACTAAACATTACCCCCCCCCCCAAAAGAAAAAAAAATCTACATTGGCTATAACCTGTTGAATGATCAAAGTATGATATGATAGAAGTATTCCTACCTGTGCCTCCAGCCCACTGGTTACCCCCTACATGAGGGTCATTGGATGGATCAATTTTACCAAACTTAGGCTCTGAAAGGTCACCGACCTCATCCTTGTCATATGTGATCTGAACGGAGAAAGAGGAAAGGAACACGAATGATAGAGACCAATGCCACCTTCAAAAGGCTGAAATAATCATAATTCTAATATTTGATTTGATTTGATTTATTGATTTCTATAACATATTTCAAACATACATATTTTAAACATACATAATGTTCATCAGTGTGATATAATTCATGTTTCAAAGTACAGTACATGATACTCATACTGCATAGAACATAGACAATAATAATACAGTTGTTGATGTTTTTTTGTTGTTATAATGGCAATCAGTCAAGAACTGACTATAATAACCAATGCCTTTCTTTTAATATATCTTTTAATTTTTTTAATATAAAATATATAATGTGGATAATAGTATACAAAGTATATTAGGCTTCTCTCTCTTTTTCTCTTCCCTTTCCAGTCTTATATTTTTAATATTAATAACCAAAACAAGGAATTTAAAATGAAAGAAAAACAAAACAACAAAATGTACCGGTAGGTTTATGTATCCAGCTCCTATAGGCAATGGGTGAAAATGAATCCTTAAGATAAAACACCCATTTCCACATCTTCAAACTTACTTGTAGTTTTGCATCCTCGGCCGTACCGATCATTTTATACCAGTCAGCGAGCGACTTGGACAGTTGAGGGCGCCCCGTCTCCCACAATCTCACATGACCACCTGTGTCGACAGTCACTACGCCCTCGCTTGGTGTGGGGGCTGTTAGGACCTTACTGTCAGACACCCAGGGAGTGTAGTTGCGATGCACTGTGGGACTGCAGGTTGAAATACACAAGAGTTATCATAGTTATAAATGAAATTTTTATTGCAATTTTATCAGGATAACAAATGTGAAATTAATCGCATGTAGTTTGACCACATAACAAATTTCCATGGAAAAGTATACAAGCTTTATCAAAATGATAACTTGAATCAAAGCATTCAGCTCGTTCGTTCGTGTCTCCTTAGATCAAGATAGTTGTGTAAAGTTCCTTAATTTGAAGTAAATTAAATTAAGTTCTTCCATCGCTCGATTGCTGCAATGGCCGTTTCATTAACAAGGGACAGGTCTTCATCTGTGCAACCCGTTCCGCTGCACTGCAAGATGTGGTCCATCGTCTGAGTCTCTCCGCAGTCGCAGAGAGTATCTCTAGCCATATTGACCTTACACCGCCCCATTTTTGTCCGCAATTGATTTAGGCATTGCCACTCCGGCCACTTCAGCTAAAAAGGGATTATGAAAACGATGCTGACTGTACATACCTTGGAATAGGGATATACTTGAGAGTTTGTGAAGACATGTCGGCTATTTCTAGGAACTCCCCAGATCCAGGGACTTTCTCTGCAAGGAATAATGAAGAAAAGAATGTGAAAAGTAAAGATAATCAAAGTTTTTTTTTTTTGGGGGGGGGGGGGGGGGTGGGGGATGGGGGGACACTTTGGAATAGACAGGTAATAAACTACACTGTTAGATGGGCCATTTTCGTTATGTAATTAAATCAAATTCAATTCTATTCAATTTATGAATTTCATAAAATACAAAGGCATAATATATAATTAAAGCGTGTGGAAATCACATCAAAAAGCCAATGCTTGCAAAAAACACAGCGATTCCCCTCTTACAAAAAATTGTATTTCAATAGTCAGGATGCGAGTTGCATACATTACATATTGTTAGGTTCTGGGACAAGCAATAATGTTTGTCCTACTCAGCAACATTTAATGTATGCAATATTGCAATTTCGCAATCCGACTATTAAAATACAATTGTTCATAAAAGGTGAATGAAATAATTTGTAACAAGGCACTGTTGCTTTCGTGGTAATAAATGAATTGAATACATTCATAAGAACACTGTCTAGTTTATTAGCAATAGTATCTAAATTGTTACAATTACAAGTTTAATCACTATGAATCACAATCAAGTGTAAGCATCATCTGGGGAGTGTTTCACAAAGACTAAGATCAACTTTAAGTTGGACTTAACCATGGCAGGCCTTTTATGCCACTGGTTGCTCTCACCATTGGTCTCTCAATTATGATCTTTAGATAATATTTTTTCCTTCAATAATGAACTATCAAAAAGGTAAATTCTGTAGATTTGTGACTATGATGTGTACGTCCCTTGAGAAACCAATACCAGTATTATGGTTAGAGCAAACAGTGGCATGAACAGCCTGCCATAATTAAGTTCAACTTAAAGTCGATCTTAGTTTTCGTGAAACACTCCCCAGAATGATTTTTGTTCTTCTTACCATTCGGGAAGAGTTCCTTTGGGACCTGTTTGCTGTTGAGAACCCTGACCACCTGGGCGGAGTCTGGTAGAACCACTGGACTACCCCCGGTGGTGGGGGCTGTACTGGTCTTCTTGACCAGGGATGCTAGGGGGTCACGGAGGGCGCCCGAGGGATAGGTTGGGGGTGGAGGGGGGCGTGGTGCACTGTATACATCTACAGAAGACTGGTGTAAAGAAAATAATGCAATTCAGATCATCTGTCAGCCAAAAGAGTATCCTGCTACTTAAATGCTTAAATAGTTTACTTTTACTTGAGAACAAACAGTTTGTGATTTTCATAACATTTTCTCTACTCTCTTAAAGATATTCTGTAAATCTTAAAATGTAGCAAATGGTATGAAAATAAAAGAAGAATAACACATTTTCTATCTAAGAGAGAGAAAAATAGAAGACAGAAAGAAATGAATTACACTGTGAATATTGGCCTATGGCATATTCTTTTCAAATTCTGCTACTCAATTAGAGACAGCAAATAATTTACAGAGGGTAGGACCGAATCAACAAGACAGAGAAGAGAGATTAAAATGAGAGGGAGAGACAAAGAGAGACAGACACAGACTATCTATCTATCTATCTGTCTATGTCCCATAGTTTGGAGGCCGTTGGGACGATATGGATCATGAGGCCCAGGTTCTCCATAACTTTCTGTCTTCAGCTGTTCTTGTTAGCTGCTTAAATTACATTCCCGTCCAATGCTTGATGTTATCAGTCCATGTCCTAGTTGGTCTGCACCTCTTTCTTCTCCCATTGGTTCCTCCTTGCAAGATGGTGTTTGCCAAGCTATTCTGCCATCTAGTTACATTCCCAAACTACTGTAGCTGTCTTCTTTTCACAATTATGATGAGGCGATCAAGTTCCTCTATATAACTCTCCATTACCTCTCTCTCAATTTCTTGTTGGACGTATTTGAAGTGTGGTGGATATGCAGAAGCCTTCTCGTTCAATTCGTCTCAAAAGCAGATACAGATAGACAGACAGACATACTGTATAGACAGTAGCTAACAGACAGACAGACATACAGACAGACAAACCCTTACCTGTAGATCAGGGAAGCCAACAGCTACGGAGCTGTAGCTGTTGGCTTTCCTGATCAGTCTATTAGGAACATCCATATTCTCTCCTATGATAGAGCTAAGATGAGCCTTAGACATACAGACAGTAGCTAACAGACAGACAGACAGACAAACCCTTACCTGTAGATCAGGGAAGCCTACAGCCACAGCTCCATAGCTCTGAGGATCAGCCATCAGTCGGTTAGGAGCATCCATGTTCTCTCCTATGACAGAGCTTAGATGAGCCTTAGACAAGCCTGTGTGAGATACCTTCAGGGGCAGACTGGATGATGAGGGGGAGTTATCACTATCTGAAACTAAGAAAAAAAACACCAGATAAATGATTCATAGATACATCCCCATCATCATCACCATCATCATCACCATCATCATCATCAGCATCATTTTCATCATCATCAACAATATTCATCATCATCATCATCATCACCATCATCACCACCACCACCACCACCCCCATCATCATCATCATCATCATCATCCTCATCATCAGCATCATCATCATCATCAGCATCATCAACATCATCATCATCATTATCATCAGCATCATCAGCATCATCAACATCATCATCATCATCCTCATCATCATATACAGGCTAAAAAAGATGTTTTCACTAAATGTATTTTTACCAATTGAGCACTAGAACTTAGATATTCCTGTATTAAACCTATGGGTAATAGAAGTACATAGTAGTCAATGGCTCAAAAATTGAACATTTACATATACATTTATGACTGTATTTTAGAGGCTTTGTGTTAACAATTTGAATTGGCTAATTGTCTTTTGATACACACAACAGAGTTCAAAATAAGATATTCTCTGTAGGTATAAACATGTGTATCACCCATCAAAATCATATTTGTAGTTTTTATGCAAAAGACAGTGATGCATTCTTTGCCAAAAGAGTTCAAATTGCTCTTTAGGTCATAATAGACAACTAAACAACACTTTTACATATCATGCATACTTTGCCTTTACTTTTTGTCTTATAATAATGAAATAAATTCACATGACTAGAGATTTTTCCAAGCTGTTCATGTACCTGTATCATCCAGGTTTGCATCAAAGATGGCATGCAGCTGACTGACAGGGGCATCAGGAGAAGGCCGGGTCATCAAGAACTTCCTATGTCACAGCGAAAGAAAAATATGAAAAGTAAAATTATGAATAAATATATTCTTCTTGATATTCCCAACAATCTATATTGTAATGCTTAATATTGTTGACCATCCATTGCGAGACAGACGAATATCACTAGCGATATTTTTTTCAATCTATATTGTATTGTAATTTTGGTACAATGTTGCTCAGATATTGTCATAGACATACATGTACAATAGTAGAGCCATATATACATTTAAATCTAATGGAACAGCCTATGAATATGTACATTGTCTTCATATAGATCATGAATGAATAATGTATCATGACTATTCCATTTCTTCAAGATCTGAAAGGAATTTTGGTTTGATGCTTTCATCACACAGACTACAACTTACTTTTCTGTGGGTGTTGGATTCTAATATTCACTTGGACGAGAAGATACATCAAATGATGTTATATTTCATATGTATTGTAACTTATAGGTTTATTTGTAATTTCTTGTTTTGTTTAATATGTAATTGTTTATCATTGTATTTTGTTTGTTATAGCGCTTAGAGACTTAGTTGGTAAGCGCTTTATAAGCACCGTTTTTATTTATTTATTTAAAAATATTATATTCAATTTGAACGGTATTCTGAATGTTGAAGGCTATAACTTGGTTGAAGCTGTCAACCTAGGATGCAAACGTTATTCATTCATGAATGGGGATTAATGAACTAGCACGTCATCACTACAAACCTGTCTGTCTTGGCTTCTACCAGCAGCCAGGCATCAGGAGAAGCTAGCTGAAGAGACTTGATGTTCATGGGTAGATTGACTGTATAAGCCTCACCATTCAAAACATCCATCCATTCCACTTTGGATCTGTGGAATATAAAGAACAAAAAGGAAATCATTATCATAAGCCTTATAATCATCATAATCATCATCATTGTCATCATCATCATCATCATCATCGTCATCATCATTATCGTCGTCGTCGTCATCCATCATCATCATCATCATCGTTGTCATCATCATTATCATCATCATTGTCATCATCATCATCTTTGTAATTATTACCCTCATAATAACCATCATTACCAGACTTAGCTTCATTTTTATCATTGATGATAACATTGTCATCACCTTCTTCTTCCTCCTCCTCCTCATCATCATAGTCATCATTCTCCTCCTCATCATCATTATCACATAACCATAATAATCATCATCATCATAATCACCATCATCTTCTTCCTCTTCCTTATAAACATCCTCCTCATCATTATCATCATCATAATCATTACAGACATCATCTTCATTATTATCTTCTTCTTCCTCCTTATAAACACTTTTCATCGCCATTTTCATCATCATCATCATCGTCATCATCATCATCATCATCATCATCATCATCAAAATAATCCTCCTATTCCTCCCCCTCCTCCTTCTCCTCTTCCTCCTCAAATATTTCATCAAAAGAGCAATAAGTCAAGACTCACCCTCCATCTGTGTAGAAGACCAGCCAGTTTTCATGAGCAAACTCAGAGCACATCTTATACTGGTCTTGCTGGTTGCCACTGGTCATGGTCCGTCTCATGTTGGTCACCGTCTCCTCCAGGAGCCCTGAGGTGTAGAGTCTCCAGACGGAGCCAGCGGAGGGGTCAATCAGGAGACTGGTATGGGACTGAAAAGAACAAAAGTGGAAGCCTTCTAATTGATCCAAGATTTTGTTTTGTAAATATTCATGTATTCTTATGTTTTTTATTGTTATCTTTTGCCAGTGGAGGCCAAATTTCAGTTTTTTTTAAACGTGGACAATATCATTTGAATCTTGATCTTTGACAGATTTTTGTTTTATAGGGTCATAACCACATGGTGACAAAGAACCGTGATGTTAAAATTACCAGGAACTTTCATCGACATTCACTGATTGCTTCTAAGATCTTGGATCTTAAGCAGCAAGACACAGAAATACATGTATTACAGTCCTTTACATTTTTTTCTTTCATAGAATTGACCATTGGATAAATGATCTCAATTTGACTGTACAGGGAGCAGCAAAAAAAACACAAAAAAAAACACAACAACAACATGTATGCTTCTTCTTTTCTTCTTCTGAGGGTGAAAGGCCACCTTCTTCAAGCTTGTAAAGTTGTGCATTTGTATGCACAGCAGTCTGGAAGATCTAATGCTTCAATCCTGATATGTAAGCATTAAGTGGCAGGATAAAATAATGATGAATTACAAGACCTGTTATGTCATAAAGACATAAAATGATAATTACATGACAATGTATAGGAATATTTTTCTTCCGCTAATCAGTCAACTTGTACATACCTTAGGGTCATTGAGAACGACCTGGCCCTGAAGTGGACCCCCGAGGGCTGCTAGCTGAGCTGGTCTGTATCCAAGATAGGGGAACACATCATACAGGTCTAGGAACTGGATGGATTGGCCCAGAGGCTTCATGCTGTACAGACTAATGGGGTTCCCTACACAGACATGGACCATCTCTGATGTCTTATCTGTAGAAACATACAAGATATACAGTAGAGGTGTTGTGGTCTAGTGGATAAGTAGTCAGACTGTAAATCACAAGGTACGGGGTTCAAATCCCAGCCTGACACTATCCCCCTTCTGCAAGACGTAAATCATTTGCCACACTCCACCCAGGTCCTAAATGGATACCCGGTAGGATACTAGCGCCCGGCCTGAATATTCCCCAGGTAGTGAAGAAAGTGTATGCATTGTGTACGGGCAAGCTTGAATCTGATGACCGGGGTAATAATATAACTGTAAAGCGCTTAGAGATATCGTCAATGTACATGTATTAATGTACTATATAATGTACTACTATATACTATATACTATATAAATGTGGAATATTATTATTATACAAGTACATGCATCCATTGGCACAATAATATGATAATAATAATTTTAAAACTCTCTTCATTCTTCAATTAAAAACACCCCACATATATATTGTACACCCATTAAAACACTAGCCTAATGAAAATAGACCTTGGGGATACTTAGGTTCAAATTTGTTGAAAATAGAATTTATCTGCTGTAGGATGTTAAAGTAATGGGGAGATTTAAAAAACAATATGACACTTTATCATCTTTAAATCAAATTCTGGAAGGCTCTCTGTCATTTGTGTGTCAATAAATATGAGTAACAACTTACATGTACACTATCCTCAAAATTCTTACAGGTTGGTCATCACCCTTTTTTACCCTTCCATTTGTTCATTTATTTATTCTAAAAGAAACTTCACAATCTGACAAATAAATAATTAGTTTACTTAAAGGCGCCATACATGGCCAGCAAACAAACCTCACATTTGCATCTTTATCATAAACTCATTATTACAATTTCAGTAAGATATTATTGTAAAACAAGAAAATGCCATTTACAGACACCATAAGGTGACCAACCTTTGGTAACAGCCACATCGGTCGGTATGTTCGTCTCATTCATGGGTAGCTGCCATGATGCCATCTGCTCATTGAAGCTAGAAGACCGAGAATCAACTCTATCCAGCTTGTGCTCCCTTACTTGGATATGTGCTGGGCCCTACAAAACAATGAGAACGAATTTTGAATGTGTGCGTAGGAACGGACAAATGCTGCTTTCAAGAAATACAACATAGATTATCACTGAAGGTGACATCTACTAGGAGAAAATGTGGTTGTTTTTGTGTGTATATCTAATTTTGGGTAGGATGTGTTGAATTTTAAATCTAAAAGTCCAATCCCTTCAAATTGAATATACATATACATATACACATATACTATGTCCTTATTGTCCTACGTTTCATGATCTTGGCATTTAATTTATAATTTGTGCTTTGCATACACTAGTGCATACTCCTTGCACATTCTAATTTTACATGTTTGAGTTTATATATGTGGACCACCCTGCTGGACATGTAATACCTAATCAAGTGTTTGGGTTGCCTGGTCGGCCGGCCAAACATAAAGGGTGGTATTCCCGAAAGGGGACTAACTTTAGTCCATGGTTTAATCCTCTGACTATTGTATGGAATGCCAAGTGTCCATATGACTATCTTTTTGAATAATTTGATATATCCTATAAATAACCATGATAACATAATTATTTCATAGTTATATTGTTGTAATTTTATGTTATTACAAAATATTTCTTTAATGAAAACATTTACATTTAATTTAGTGAAAAATTAAATTCTTCAAAAACAAATTCATATGGACACTTGGCATTCCATACTTAGTCGGAGGATTAAACTATGGACTAAAGTTAGTCCGCTTTCGAGAATACCACCCAAAACGTAACACGAGAGAGTGTGTGTATGTGTATTGGGTTTTTACAGACGTGTATCAAACAGATATGATTATTTACGGCTGGGGACCGACCTTTAAACGTCACCATCTAAAAGACGTGACTCAGTTTGTAAATTCCACTGTTAGCTGGATTACAGGCACACGCCACAACGCCACAAAGCCCTGCTTGGAGCATTTTAAATAAATAGTATACCCAACAAGATGTGACGGTTGGTCCATACCTTGACTCGTAGTTTCTTCTCATCGACCGGACAAACCATCTTCCTCTTGCTTGCTCCTCTATCACCAAACAACCATCTCCCTGTCAGGCTGGCTGGTGGCAACGGAAACCTGTAACCATGGTAATGATGATGATAGGTTATCTCATCTTACTGGTATAAAATGATTCCGTACTACAAAGGATGCAACAACTGAATGTTCTGTTAGACCCTTTATATGCCACACAAATTATCTCTAGTCCTTTTCAGGACTTCCCAATCCTCCCCCTCTCTCAAATGTTGCAACCGTATGCCTACTGTATACAAATTATCTCTGTGTTCCACACCATATTTATCATGAGATAGATAAACCAAACTTTAAGATTATTGAACTGTTTCTAGGTCGATTACATGGAATATCCTGGCTTTAGCATGGAATTAATGCCTGCCACGTACCGGTACCCATTTACCTCACCTGGGTTGAGTGTGGCAAAACCCAGTCTGGTGATGTACCCACTAGACCACGACACCTCATGACCACACAACAATATTCATAAGGACACAAAGGGAGATTTCTTTTAACAAATTTCCCATGGGAATAAGGTGGCTCCTCAATTAAATATAATCTGGATTTATAAAGCGCTTAATACGAAATACCATCTCTAAGCGCTTTTTACAGATATTATATCCCTGGTCATGGGATTCATTCGCCCACGATGTGCACCATCTCCACTCCCTGGGTAGTATTCCTACCATATGTCAATTACTAACACAAAGGCTTTCGTCATACTACCAGGTCCCCATTTGTCTCCTGGGTATCGAGTGGCAAATGTAGATTAGCGCCTTGTCAGGGATCGAATCCATGACCTTTGAATTTCAAGTCAATTGTTTTTAACACTCGGAGTATTCAGTGGTCAATCAGTTAAATTATCTTTTCATACTTTCTCTCAAATCAGTATTGCCTTGGATGAAATCAAGAGGAAATTAACAAATAAATTTTGATTTGCTCAGACTCACAGGCCCGAATTCACAAAGGAGGTTTGTCGACAAACCTTGGTTTTCGTACGTCATATGACACGTTTTACGCGTTTTTTACAAACCTGGTTTGTAAAGAACAAAAGGAGGTTTGGCGAAACAAAAGGAGGTTTGAGCTCAAACCTTGCTTTGTGAATTTGGGCCACAGACTTCTAACTTGGGTATGTTTATCTGGATCCTTTTATTTTACAGAAAACTAAAACCTATACCTTAACCCTTACTGTACTGGGGGAGGGGAGCCTGGGAGGCCCCCCCTCGACATTTTCGGAGATTGCGCCGCAACCGCTTGGAATTTTGAATTGTCGTTTCATGACTTTTTTCCCTCAAGTCTTACGCACATTTTGATACCATTTTCGTCAAAATCGGATATACCTGTAAGGCGTTACATAACAATTAGTATGCGCATGTCATAAAAAAAAACAAAAAAAAAATGAAAATCGCATCAAAATTTGCATAAATTATCATTGTTAATTACATTAAAATAACTTTTTTGTGTTAGAAAAGAAGTTTCATATGAATAATGAGTTTCAACATTCAAAAAGTGGAGTTTGACACGTTTTCGGTAAAATGCATAAAATTAGCGCATTTTGCATAAATAATTAGGCTAATGACAAAAATTTGCATATTCGGAAAAAACTAATTATACCATCTTGTTCCTTACGTAAATATCTACAAACATGCAAATTTTCGTGTTCATCGGACAATCGACGGCCGAGATCATAGGGGGGGGGGGGGGGCCTCCCAGGCCCCCCCAGTCAGTGGGTGCTCAAAATAGCCCAGTACAGTAAGGGTTAATCAATTAAGTTTGCAAGAATAGTTTTACATAAGAAACAAAAATAATGGTATTTCAGTAAACCTACACGTATTCCATTTTTCACTCTCTCCTTGCCTGTAAACTTTAGAACACTCTTTACTCTTCCACATTCTACAATTGGTAGAATGCACTCACTCACCCTCTTTCACTTCTCCATTTTTGCATTCCTCTCTCTCCCTAATCTTAATCATTACTCCTGATTCAATCTTAAAATTAGCTGGGAAGATTTGGTCATAACTGCTTATGTTTTTTATCATTATTATTATCCATTATTACTTAACAAAATTAAAAGAAAGGGAACTATAATACTTGAGTTCATTTTTCTTTTGTTCATTGATCTTTGTTTTGAATGAGGATTTATAAAGACAAAACAAAACAAGACAGATTTACAAGCAAGCAAATTTGAATAGAAAATTAAATTTTATTCAGTAATTCATTCATTTGAACAATATCTAGACAATGACTCAAAACATAAGCAGTTATGAATAAAATTTACATAAAGCAGGAGTTACAAAATCGTGAATTTCATTATTGCAAATTTCTAGTTGATACATAAAGCATAAGTTACAATGAAGGTGTACAAATCTAAAATCACTCTCTCTGTATCACATCTGTCTGTTAGTATCTATCTGTCCATGTGTCTAATTGTCCATATGTCTGTCTGTCTCTCCCCATCTCATTCCCTTTTCACATTAAATCTTACCCTCTGAGGTTCAATCCATTATTTTTACAAACTTTTCTCAGTCACTCACATTCTTCCTTCATAATTCTTTACCATCTTACAATCGATGTTATAACACATCTAGTTTTAATACTGTCCATCATTCAACCATTTAGAATTATAATGCCCTTTCATGATAAATAGGTATTTTACCAATGTCTCCATGCACATACAACTTTCATAATAATGTAACAAAAATTAACATTCAACCTGAAATTAATTTGTGCTAACCTGGTAAGCTTACTCATATAACATCATCACAAAAGTGCTTTGTCCAAAGGCCCACCGCACACTATACCACCCAACTATGATCGGATTTTGGAAGAAAATGCAACAGCATTCAATACAAACATTCAAACATGAATAATCATATGATCAAGAAAATCTCAATTTCAAGGGATTCCATGCTTCTTTGGAAGAGGAAAAGCTTAATTGGCTCAGAAACGTAGTGACGTCAGACCTGGGCGCTGTCTTACAAAGAGTTGATATCAATCGCAGCTATGTACATAAGAGATACGAGACTGCAAACTTGCGATTGATTTGGATCAATCGCGACTCTTTGTAAGACGGGGCCCAGTAGTGTGATTGTCTACGGTTTGAAGCAGATTCAGAATTTATTCTGACTAGAGAGCTCTAGAAAAAAGTCCCATTAGTATTCTTTTTATTATTAAGATGCTCCATTAGGAAGATGTTTGTTTTGATTTCCAATCAAAATTCGGAAGGCAGGACGAATGGATAATACGCGCTGGGTTTAAACATTATTCCTGAGACCAGTGGAGTTACCCTGTCGATAACAAGTTTTGTATAGAATATTAGTTTGCATCCCACAAACTATTCCAAACATACATGTAACTTCACAATATAAACATGAAATAGTATAAAAATATGCTACACACAAATATCGTTCAGGAGGTGCAGAGGTCTGTATACTAGTAATTCAATTATACCCAATCCTGGGTCTAAAATTACATTGAACAAAATGAAAATTTAGACCACAGACTATCTTCCTTCATTATAGCTGATTTTGAATAAGAGTCTAAGCAAGCGTTGGGGTTTAAATACTAGCAGAATATGGGTCATACTATTCAATTGTTATGGCTTAATTTAAATGCAAAATCATCACGATTTGATATATTAAATTCTTTTATATTTGCATTGATACCGGTCCTTAAAAAAAAATGATATCTTATCCCAATAAATGTAGCTAATACGATTAAATACTTAAAGCCAAACTTTTAAATATAGCAAATATAGTCTTAAAGAGGTATTATGACATAAGTCTGCATAAGACCTCATTCAATCAAAATTATCTAATTTGTGCAGCATGCCAGTGATCATATCTATTGCAGGTAGTATTTGAATACTCAACATTTTGCCTGAAATGCCACGTTTTATGATGCTAACCACTTATGTCATCAAATGACCATCTACTTTGTGGTGTAAATCATTCAGAATTACTTTATACCAGTTCTCTGAATCTGAAGTTTTGTTTACCATAAGTTATACAGTCAAACCTGCTTTAGTGACCACCTGTATAGAAAGACCACCTATCTACAAAGACAATTTTTGTTGTTGTTTCCCTTGAATATGGTATCTCATTGAAACATGTACTAGAGGAAACTGTACATAAAGACCACCTGCTTATAAAGACCACTTTCCTTGTCTAACTTGGGTGGTCTTTATAGACAGGTTTCACTGTATTTAATAGCTTAAACTAGATTGCTTACTCTTTGGCTAGTTGCACATTGGCTATACTTGCTCCTATAGGAATGCCATGTTTGTGAAGCGTCTCAACCACCTGTTCCCTGATCTCGTTATTGTAAGCATCAAAATCGAAGACATTCTTCACCACCTGAGGGAGCCCTTCATCTGGATACCTCTGTAAGAAAGAAAAGGATACAAACCGATCAAAATAGTTGAAAACAAAAGATGAGGGATTACATGGTTAAGAAAAATCAAAAGATACCTAGAGTATGCATAATGCTTACTAGTCAGTATCTCTCAGGACCATTTGTTTTCCATTGAAGAGAATATGTGCCTCAAAGCTTAATTAAGTCTTGTAATTCTCAAAGCTTGCTAACAAAAGAATCATGCTTAATATCAAAAGTATATTTTCTCATAAAGGTATCGTTTAACAATGTTAAATCTGAGATGCATGGCCCTACGTGCTATCAATGTCTGTGATACGGTGTAATACTAAAGCCTTAAACAAAATGTTCATGAAGTGCCTCAAAAAAGTAAAAATCTTTGAGTGACAGGTTTAACCATACTCATTTTCCCCAATAGACTGTAGTGTTATAAAAACCATTAGGAAAACAGAAACAAATTAAATTTCAATTTCTGATCAAAAATATCATGATAGTCAAACAGGCAATCAGCTTGTTACAGTCATGGGGCTCCTGACTGACCTAAAGGTTTATAATTATCATTGCAGCATGAGCTAAATCCAGGATTTTGTTTCAGAATCTGAGACAATGTTACCGAGTCACTTTAAACTGAGATGTAATATACCGGTACTGCAATGAAATCTTCAACTGTAGGATGCATCTCATGATAACAATAACAAATGAATAAACAAAATAAAACTGAAATAACACACCAAACAAAACACATATCTGGGAATTAGAGAATTCAGTAGTCAACGGATTAACAAACCTGTAGATGTTTGACCATGTTGACAACCTCTCTGGTTGAGTAGGGGTAAGCAATGAGACCCTGGTCCGCAAGGGACCTAAGCTCACTGAAGGCCAGGACTAGCTTACGTAGGATAGGCTTAGGTACGTCAGGACCATAGCGCTGTAGCATGGCCATCTCTGATTCTATGTCAGGGTTGTCTATGGCGTGGCAGCTGAATATATCACCTGGATTCAATGATAGGAAGGTGGCCATTAGGAAGAGATGCAAAACAAATCACTGGATTGCAATTGTAGGGTCCTGCCAAATAACTAGAAACACCTAATTATAATCTTGTTTAATAGATTGACTAAATTTCGTCCTTGTTTTCACGAAGTGACGGTAGTGAGGAAAATCGTAACGCAAAGTGAATGCAATTTTTTTTCACTACCGTCACTTCGTGAAAACAGCGACGATTTGTTTCATATTGCTGTAAGTGACCAGAAATGTACAGTGTACATGAAAATGTTCATACTAATCAGGGGATAAACTGTATAGAGTAAATTATTACATTGCACCATTTTTCCTTAATACAGACTGGGTTCTTTAATATTCAAATATTGTTTACAGATTGGGAGTTTACAGGAGTTTAGGGATTACAAAGTCTACCACAAAAGAGAAAGAAAAGTAAAATAATACATTATATTCCCATGCATTTAGACATCCAAATCGCTTTGAACTTTAGTCTAAATGTGCCTTCACTGTAATGAACATTGTTCTATTCAATACATTATGGGTCAATTAAAGATACATATATTTACTATATAATACAAGTCAAGTCAAAAGGTACATTTTGTTGTACGTATGGGAATAATGCATATTTTTCCAAAAATCAAGATAGGATATGGCACTACACTGTCCTGCAGCTGCATAGTACAATTCATGAATCTAATGCCTCAGTCAAACCTTTGCGTATTTGGCTTGCGTATTGCTGCGTATTTATGGCAAGCCGTTTTAACATTTATTCCTATTTCTTGATATCAAGAAATGATTTTCTGTTGTAAAGCAATGGTAATTCTTGAATAGGAATAAATGTTAAAACGGCTTGCCATAAATACGCAGCAATACGCAAGCCAAATACGCAAAGGTGTGACTAAGGCATAAAGCAATACAAATAGAGTGTAATATTTATGAAAAAGAAGAAGAAAATGGATTCCCTAGTGATGTTGAATTATAGATGAAGTCAAGTCATGAAGTCATTGTTGTACCTCACCATTTTATTGTTACCATTTATCTAAAGTCACATGGATTGGAAAAGAAGACCTTTGGGTTACAGTTATTTAGTTAAACTTTTTCTTTTCCTGGCATCCCTGTGACTCTTTTCCAAATGTACTCTTGTTTTGTATTCAATGATTTTCTTTGTTTTTGCTGAATAAATAATAATAATAGTAATAATAATAATAATAACAATAATAGTAGCTTACCTAATGATCCAAAGAAGTCGTTGCCAAGAAACGGGAAGCCAGGTCGGTTTGCTAGAACCATCATACTGAAATCAGGATGAGTGATGATGATGTCATCAGATGGCTGCATACCAGATTGGGCTGGAGAGAATGAAAGACACAACAAATTAGTTTGTTCCTCGATATCCTCCTCCTCCTCATGCTCCTAATCATCATCTCATCATTATAACTGTCATTATTACTACCACTATCATACTGAATCAGGATGGGTTATTATGATGTCATCAGATAGCTGCATACCGGATTGGGCTGAAGGAATAAAAGACACAATACCAAATACTAATCAAAGTAATGCTGATCATCATAATCGTAAAAACTGTCAACATTATCTCCACTGCATATTTGGCATATTAAAGTATACCACTCCAAGTTGAGGTCTTGATAACAAAATTTCTTCTTGTTTTCCTAATGATGTACAGTACATATACATTTACTGACAATGTCATATTTTCTCTCCTCATAATCATAATATTACACATAACTCGGGTTGCTGGGCCCCTATATCTTCAACATTATCCACATGCATGTCAGTTCACCGTTTCCCCATCCGTGGCAGCTTATACTCACCTGAGACGATACGTCTTCCATCGGCTAGCATCATCTCACCGCTCTCTACAAGTGCTTTGAGAACGCAGGTCACATGGGTAGGGGCCTTGTCAGCTTCATCAACCACCAATATGTGGCCGTCTTTCACTGCCTTCACCTGCAGATGAGTATAAAGATAGCATTTGTAGATGTCCTTCTCACTAATTTGTAGTATCTATCCTTTATTTTAATAATCATCATCATAGTTGTCATTATTATCGTCATTTTATCACTTTTATTTGAATTTCATTGTTGATTGCTTGGATTGTTTTTAATAATTATTGTATAATTGCTTTTATCATTTATATACATTGTAAACTGTTGTAAACATTGCAACTCAGTCTATGGACTGCAAGAATGGATAATATTCAATAAAATCCTTCAATCAAAATTGTAGTGATCTTCAACCAAGTACATACATGTACACGTACATCATAATATGTCTATCATATCGTTATAATGAATTCTTGTTACTTATTTGCTTATTCCCACTTATTTGTAGTATCCTTTATCTCAATAATCATCTCCATATTTGCAATTGTTATCATCTCTTAAAATTCTACCCTACTATGCTAAGTGCATATAGACCTTTTGAGTGTAATGTGCTATATAAGAATCTATTTATTATTATTATTTCCCATTAACTCTTTTTATTCACATCGAACACATATTTCCAAAAGGGCTCCATTCAGTTATCCTTGGCTTCAGAACTCAGAGGGTGAATATTTGATTAGGGATGCTAAAAAGCATACAGTGCACTTGCAGGAATGCCCAAGACAGTAAAGGTTCACTACCATAGCAATTGATTCCCTCTAAATGTTTGAATCATTGACTGCTGGACTGACGCAGAAAGCCAAACTCAAGAAAAGGTGAGGGTGAAACATCAGGAACATAATGCTAGAGTTAAGCCGTTCTCAAAGACTTTCACGAGTAATGACAAGCATATATTTTAACCAATCTTCCCATCTCCTTATTCCTCGTCTTCTCACGTATGTCGAGAACAACAACTTTTACATTTCTGTGAAGCAGCCACACCCTAGTGGTCTCATCAACTTACATTAGCACAGGGATGCTGTTACATCAGTGTAGGTGGTTATCTTATCTTACATATACATACATGTTTAGAAGAAGTATCTCAGTTGCCATACATTCTAAAGCAATCATTGACCCCCTGTAAATCATATTCTTTTCTTCATATTACAGTCAAACCTGCTTTAGTGACCACCTGTCTACAAAGACCACATTTTTCATTTCCCTTGATAATGATTTCTCTTTGAAAATGTACTAAAGGAAACTGTCTACAAAGGACACTTTTTTTGTTTCCCTTGAAAATGGTTTCTCATTGACACATGTACTATAGGAACCTGTCTTCAAACACCACCTTCCTATAAAGACCACTTTTCTTGTCTCTCTTGGGTGGTCTTTATAGACAGGTTTTTACTGTATCTTGTTTTAATCTTTGTTTTCTTGTTGTGTACTTACCAGAGGGGAATCTTCATACACTATGACACCATCTTGTACATTGGGCTGGAGTGTTAAAGTCTGAACCGTCGTGTCTCTGAAAATAAAACCACACCAAAATATTCATGGACATGAAAATCTGTGCCACCTGCATGATCATTATCATCCTCCTTAAAGCCATCAACATCTCTCACAACTATTGTGCTATAAGGTTTCAAAGATGTAGAGTATCAAAAAATAGGAGTTTGTGAGACAAGTTTTGAACCATGGCTCTTTTCCTCAGCGTTTATCTTTGATAAAACTAATATTCAACGCTGTAAACAAATTCATAATCTATAAACTTGTTTTTAATTACAAGATAAAGGAAAAGCTTTTCTCTGTCCTCAAATATTTGATACACCATGCCATTTAGGAATCAACGAAAGGTTAGGAGTTTTAGAACAAACAACATCATCATAATTTGATAAAAATCATTTTATGGCTACAATTAACATAATAATCAAATCACATTATTCATCAAGCATTATTTGTATAAGCACCATAAAAGGGAATATATTTGGTACTATTAATAAATAACAAGGCACCATCCGACCCTAAAAATGCCTCCCACATGTGGTGACAGAGGATTTACTGCTGCTCCCAAACTGTGGAATAATCTACCCAGATTTCTTCGCAACCAGCAATCTCTCATTACCTTTAAAACATATCTCAAAATTTTCTGTTAAAGCAGGACTGCACTACTAGCTACTTGTGCCGTCTATACAGCCAATAATGCCTAACTTAAGCGGTACCTGTTGATCCCCCATGGTCCTTTTTTTCTTACGTTAATTGAGAGCTGATTTGATGAGATAACCACCTGCCAGCTGTGACCACACAAGGAGGTCTAATCCCTCCTGGCAAAAATAGTGCAGATAGGCTTTAATAACATAATGCTAAAGTTCATTCAGACATGTATATGGAAAATGTGGTATATATCTACATTATTATTATCATCATCATTTTATTATTTCTTTAGGGTATATAATTTAACTACATACCTGTGTAGTTGTATATACTGCCTAGGTCTGTTGAGTAGATGTAGGAATCTGTCTACCAGTTTATTCTTGCCGACACCCTGGTTACCCACCAACAAGAGATGCTCTCCTAGAGTGAAGTCTTTCAGCATGTCCTCCATGATGGCTAGATGCTGCAGGAACATCAAGGAAATGGATGCGTAAAAGTTTCACAATGTACACAACCAATTGTAACAGTTCTGGTAAATATAGAAAATAAATTCTCACAGAATTCAATGATACTTACACTGAATGTTCAACATTACAAAACAATGACATGTGCCAAACAATTTTGGTAGAAAATGTACAGTAGCTGAGTAATGAGCATAGAAAGATAAGAAAATTTGGGTAAGTAGACCCGACACCATGTGCTTAACACAGGTCACTATATGCAAATGAGAGTTGTGGTTTCTATTGAAGATGATTTCCAGCAAGTTTCTGTGAGTTTGTTTTTATTTTATTGGTTCAAACAATCAATCTACTGCAGGATAAACAATCCAGAATGAATTATAGCCATATTTTCTCAACATACGATTCCCATACCAGAGCTCAAAGTTAGCTATAATCCCAGTATGTGATGAATTTTTGACATCAGAACCCCATGGAAGACCAATTAAAGGTAATATAAGCCACCCTCCATGACTGTCAGAATAAGCACAGCATTTTAATAATACAATTTCCTTACATCACTGCATGACTGAAATTGAAACTTATTTTTTTAGCTATTTTCAGCTTTGCGTTATGTCATAATTTGAAAATAAATTTCAAGACTTTCTTTGGGTGTCCCAATCCTCGATTTAGTTTGTAAACGATAGTGAGTAGATTTAATCTTACCTGTGGATTCTCATAGAAGAGTGTATCAGGTACCATCATACGATTCTCTGGGTTGTACAGCGCCATCTCTGTCCTACCGATGCGTAATACGTTGTCTTTGACCTCGCCTGTAGAAGTATATTAAGAAAAGTATAAATGTATCAGGTACAAAGAAATGTAAAGGGTAAATATTTGTTTCTTTCAATTTCAGTTCATTCTAACGCAATATCCCAGCATCCTCTATTAATCTAATCCTAAACTTATCCTATATCCATTTGCTACATCGCTCAACAAAAATAAAGCCGTCACTTTTGCCTTTGGATTTTAACAAATCGTATGCATCAAATAGCACTTACAATCATAAATGTTTGTCCTATATAATGATTTCTGACATAAGTATTATAAGATTCATGAAATCACGCATACACACCTGTATAAACAATTACGCATGTGATTTTTATCAAATAGGTGGTTTAAATCATCTGTCCAGATACACAACCTGTTTGGACACACAATGTCAGGGTAAACTATATCTTTGATGATGTTTTGTCCTGAGAAAATGGTTCAAGAACAAATGTCACATTGATGTACATGTATATTCCATATGTATTGTAATTTGTAAATTTATTTGGATTTTGTTTGTTATAGCGCTTAGAGACTTCGGTGGTAAGCGCTTTATAAGCACCGTTTTTATTATTTATTGTTATGTGAGATCATGCTATACATACTTGAAGTAGCTTTCTCTATGTCTTCAAAGCTGTGTGATTCCTTCGCTGGGGGTACTATCCCAGCATCCTCTAGGGCTGATTCCAGGGACTGGCGGGCAAGAGAGGGCAGGAATCTGAAAATAAATGGTGAAACAATGATAACATGAAATTAAGAAAAAAGTTTTGATGGTTTAGAAGAAGTCTGTCATCATGAAAATATAAAATCCCTAGTCATTAAACTGCCTGGATGTGTGGAGACTAATTATGCACATGAAATGCATAAATAAAGATCATGTTTCTGCTGTTTAATAAACTAGATGTATTTATGAGATCCTAGCCCATGACTTAGTAAAATGACAACATATTTGGAAAACTGAAATACATCTAGATATTAGAAATTCAATCTGAGCTTCACATACATGACAACATTTGAAAATCAGAAATCTGTACAAATTATGCTATTTAAAAAAAAAAGAGGAACAATCCTAACTCTCCTATTCAATACTACAGACAAATTTGTACAGGAAGAGGAACACCTGCATTAAAATGATAATTATCTTCTCCCCAAAAGAGGAATGTTCCTCTTTAATCTGAACAGTTGGCATATATGGCTTCATCTTATACAGAGTTGATATCAATCGCAACTATGTACATATCAGATAGGAGACTGCAAAACCTGCGATCATTTGTATCAATCGCAACTATGTGCATAAGAGATAGGCGACTGCAAAACTTGCGATCAATTTGGATCGATCGCAACTCTTTATAAGACAGTGCCCTGGCTTGCTAGTATAGATCTACCTTGATAGACAAGCTTTGTGTACAGCATCATGTAGCCCTTGGTCCTGATAGTGGGCTAGGCGTTGAGCTATACGGATCAGGTTGCGCGTTGACAGAGAAGACGCTACGGATTTCAACTGAAACGGAATACAAACAAGATATAGATTTTCATTTTTTTTTTTTTCATTTCATTTTATTTCATTCGTCATATAAAAAACATACATGATTAAAACATTGATATTTACAGATAAGTAAAGTACATACAAATAACATAACGAAAGACAAACATAAAATACAAATATATATACGAATAAGGAACCAGCAAGAAAGAACATTTAAGTCTTGTGTGGGGCTGGTCCCTAGCGACAATTTTAACCTTTAACACTTAACACCTAACACCTAACAACTAACACCTAACATCTAACACCTGATTGCATATATAAAACCTAATAAAATACTATTCACAAAAACGTAATTGTTTGTATCTTCTTTTAAATGTATTCAGAGTTGGGCTTGATTTAACGTTAGGAGGTAACTCATTCCATAAAATTGGTCCTTTAAAGATGCTGCTTAAAAGTATCGGGTTGCATGGTGATGTAGATATACAGTAGACTTACAGTTACACCATGTGAGATAGGGAGGATTAAACAAGATATATATGCCAAAAAAATAAAAGAAGACATTGCTGATTTGTTTGATTCTAATGAAGTTGGTAGGATAAAATATTACTGCTTTTTATTCATGACTTGTATAAATGTTTCACCTACATGAAATATACTACTACAACTATGTTATACAGTAGCCCCTAGGGCCGTCGGCTTCTCTCTCAGGCATTCACTCTTGCTACTCTCATTCCATCTTCCCAATACTTGATGTTGTCTATCTATCCTGTTGGACATCTACCAACCCCGACACTTCTCTTCAATTTTGCCATCAATAGTTTCTAGTACAACACCCATGTAATATGTTATCCTGATTTCAAGTGATGAATCTGTATTTACTGAGAAACTGCAGAAAGTATTTTATTCTTCAAAAATTTTATTCTTCAAAAATTTTGTCATTTAGCAGAAGTTAGCAAACTATGATCAAAGTTTAGTAACCGACTGGAAATAATATTCCCTACAGAGCATCATACGTGACTAACAACATATAAGTATTCTACTGACTGACTGACTGATTGACTTGAATTCTTCATTTCTCTTTCCTTCATTCAGCTATCATACATTTAACTTAACAGTGTTTAACATTTGATGTAAATCATGCTGATTTCTTTAATCATTTGTTATTGTTATCACAACTTGAGATGTTATGTAATAAAAGTTATGGGTAGTACTTACATTAGGATCTGCAGCATGTCTTAATCTGTGAGTCAGCTTGAGTATGGAGTCAAGACTATCTGTAGGAGCGTTAGGTACCTAGGAGATAAATACAATAAAGTGGACTTAGGAAGATGCAGCTTAATGAGATAGGGAGAAGTGTAAAAAAGAAAAAGAAATCCCCCTTAATTAATTTTAGTAGATTAACTTGATGTAGTGTTCTTAGAATGTCATAAAGGCTTTTCAGGAAAATATAAAAACTGAAATCTTCTTTATAACTTACCATTTTAATAAAACATAGTAAAAATTCTTCATACCAGTAGATGATCATGGCAAGTTCAAAATTGAAAGCTTCTAGTATTAGTATTGCTATAGAAACGGCAGATAAAATATTCTTTGATCAAAAGGACCCACTTAAAGTGCTTAGAAGATTGCATGAGGTAAAGAATTTTGAAAATAAACAAACTACACATTCAGGTAAAGGGATGGCAAACTAAGAGGAATTTGGGGCCTGGCAAGGTTATGAGTTAAGCATCACATACCATTCCTTGTATAACTGTCATTTCTGCAGCCATACTCAGTGGTTTAATATGGTGATACATGAATAGAGTGAGAAGCTCTGGGTTAAGCCATTGCTGGCTGCTGCTTCCGACCTGAGGGGGCTCTGCCAAGGCAATGATGCGGAACGATGGATGTATCCTCATGATGGATCTGAAATAAAAAGAAAATGTTAAACCAAAATATTTGCTAGACTTTTAAAGAAGTTTCGAGTCTCTTTAATAATAAATAATAATAATAATACATAAGATTTATAAGGCGCCATCCACTTGACAGTCAAATGCTCAAGGCGCAGCTTGTGCAAAAGATGAAATACATGATACATATATACAAAAGTGAAATAGGAAAGGTACAGACATGAAAGGTAATGGTAATCAATTATTATAAGCTAAATTAAACGAATATTTCTTAAGATTAATAATGAAATGAAATTGAAACAAAATGTTATTGATCAATTATTTACATGTACATGTATTTGTTCTATGTCACTTAATAACAGAGATTGCAGAATAACATTTTGTGAGGATTTGACCATATAAAAGCAAGTTTACATCTTGCAATGGCCACTCACAATATTTGATGAGCCCAATAACACAATCATGATAAAAAATACAACAGTCTGAACAACAAATGGTTAGGACACCCCCCCCCACACACACAGAGGGACAATCAAACAATCTCAAGCAAAATGTGGATCAAAGTTTTTGAGAGAAATCAGACGAAAAGAAATAGTTCAAGGAGGGGGAGGAATTAAAGAGAAAGTCTGACAAGAAGAAGAAAAAAAAAAATACATGTAAAGTAAGCAAGGGAAGAGAAGAGTACAAAATGAGAAAAAGTTATACAAGTTGAAAAATGAAGAAGTGACCGATGGAGAGAAATGGATGATAAGGAAAGAAAAAGGACAATAAAAATGGTCAATTTGGCATACTTTTCTGCTAGCTCGGCATCTGAAAGACTGGTATCCTGTTTCACCTGCTCATATCTATCATGACGAAGTAGTCTTGTGCCATCAAAAAGGGTCACCTCTCTATCGTGGACCAACCTAAATGTATATGGACAACAAATGAAAGCTTTAAAAACATGATCTGAAAAAAGAAAGATTTCATTCACTTGTAATGAATGGCATTACCACAAGGTATTTGGACTCAGCCAAATATATTGTAAACAATACTCTATTAGGCCAAATAAAAAAACAAACATGTTTAGCATCCTGCTTTTTTGAAAAATAGGAAGGAGACCCTTTTTTTTCTCAAAATGGCCGCTCGGTACATTTTCCCTGACAGTCGGGCTATTTTTTCGAGATGGCCGCCAACATTTTTTTTTTTTTAAAATCAGAAATAGATCCATTTTAGCAGTGTTTTTCATGGTTTTTCAAGCGTTTTTTTCTTAAAAAAAAAAAAAATTCAACAAAAATAGGAGGCGGGCGGGGACGCTAAACATGTATATTTTGCTACAAAATGCTACAAACTTGCACCACAAAAGGGATTTTGAGAAACAGCATTTTATTTCAATCACAGTGCTTTTACAAAAATACTTACATGATATCAAACAGATGATGTATCATTTTAACTTCCTGGAGACAATGTTTGCTACATGTATGTGTAACAATGTCAAATATGATATCAATTTTCTGAGTGTTTTGAACCACTTATGGAACTGAAGCGGTAAATGTCGGTACCCAAATCCCTTGCAATAAAGCTCAAACAAGAAATGAAGATAACATCACCCAAACACTGACCTATGGAGCACAGTTAATGTACTGGGGTTCACTCTATGCAACCCATCCAGAAGTGCTATACTGCCCTCTAGTGCTGCCTTGACTAGAGGTGATAGTCTCCAGGCCGTGTCACCATTCACCTCTGTGATTCGCTGCTGTAGTAGGTCACGCGAGGTCATGTCCTGCAATTGACAAAAGAAGAATATTTTGCTTACTTTCTTTAGCGATCTTCTCCCACACATGTATCAAACATAATGTTTGTTCCCACCATCTTTAATAACATTATTTTTTGAATGGAAAAATTTGATGCATTTTCTGAAAGACAGCTGGAACATATGAAAGAGTGAAACAATACTGAAAAACAACACCCTAACACTATCACAAAGCAACATCATTTATATCATCTTGATTTCATCCATCAATATGCTATTTGGAAAAAAAAGAAAAGAAGAATAAACTTACTTTTCATCTATTGGTATTTAAAAAAAAAACAATTAAAAGACAGCAGTAAGTTGACAGAGAGAGGAAGAGGGGGAGAGAATGAGACAAACAGACAGACAGAAGAGGAGAGGGAGAGAAAGAGAGAGAGAGAGAGAGAGAGAGAGAGAGAGACATAGAGAGAGAGAGAGAGAGAGAGACATAGAGAGGGAGCGAGAGAGGGAGAGAAAAGGGGGGGGGAATAGACATACAGGAAGAGAAAGTCTTTATTACCTGATACAGCATGACAATCTCGGAGTTGTAGCCAAGGTTCTCTGCGAACTCTTTTGCCAAGACACTCTTTCCACATCCCTAAAGGAAGAATTTAAAAGACGCAATATAAATATGAAAACAATTATATAGGGACATGTTTGACTAGTGGCATTTTGGAACAATGGGTTCAAGCTATTCAAGAAAAGTGATACAGAATGTTATTTCAAAAAAGAGAGAGATACAATACAAATCATTTTCATTTATCTGCAATTATACTTCAGCCTTCAGTGAGGACCGAAACAGGAACAGAAACACTTACATCAGTAATGTACATGTGCAATGTTCATGTACATACAAGGGTACAGTTAGCAGTGAATATATCAAACAAAGAGAAAGTCAATGACATCAATCTCTTTCATGCTTCACAAACAATAAACTAGAAACTATTCAACATTAAGAATATACTCTACATATATTCTATATTCTTAATGATGCAGGTTAGACCATATCACATCACATCAGCATTTTTGTGCAACGTCTTTATAAAGAAAAAAAAAAAGAAAAAAAAAAGGCAGCGAACAAGAAAGTGTGAATGTTTACCTTGGGACCAACCAAGCAGAAGTCTCCTACAGAATGTGACATGAACATATCAGCTAGCAGACCATCATGGGTTGCTGTGGAGATGTATTTATGTAGAGCATCACTTTGCTCTTTAGTGTTGATGCCAGATGGTACCTGAAGCAAGTGATAGATATACATTCATAATAATAATGCTAGTAATACTGATATCAAAAGGGAAATGGTCCTCAGTTACCATGTGCAAGAGGTCATAATTCACAGACACCACACTTGGTGGAAATACCATTGATGGATGGACATGTACAAGTCTGCACACAGCAAACCCAGAGCCCTACCACGAAAACCCTCCTAGTCTCACAGAGTCTTCAGGTCAGGGAAACGTAAGAAAATGACTTTTCCATATGAGGCGATTGGTAGAAAATGCAGAGCATTACATAGGGCCTGTTTGTTGTTAAACTGTCCTTGTGATTGACAACACCTGTTATTGGGTGAACACCTGAACGGAGTCGAATTCCCCATTAGAACCCACTTCTAAAGCAGAGAAATCACTATGCAATGTTCACCTGTATCTGACTAAGTTGACCCTCGACCTCAACATTGACCGTAGCACTGAATGCTCCGCTCTGATTGGTTGAATGGATACCTGCTATCCTCTGGCTGGGTGGCTTCTCGAACTTCTCTGGCTTCAACTCAAATTTCTGTAAGAATTTGCAAAACAATTTAATAAATAATTGATAATCTCAATATCCTATATGGTCGGTTGAGGGTGGGACTAAAATACTAGAGTGACACGTGTCAGGAGTTGAATTACAAATTAACTGTATTACTGGTACCCCTGATAGTACGAAGAACTTAAATTGACTAAATTTCAATATTTTTCAATACTCCATAACATTTATCACATTTTTGGCTACCTAATCTGTACGAAACTACCATATTGATTTTTAAAAGGTATTTAATGATTTTTCTAATGATCAGTACCTCCAAGGCATCTAGAACCGATTCCTGACCCTCTTTGCTTAGGAAGACCTCGTACGGGTAGAGCTGGTGTATCAACCCGTGAACAGATGCGGAAGGTACTTCATTCTGTACGGCAGAGAAAAAGTGAAAAAGGAGGAACAGAGTGAAAGAGGAAGAGGGAAGAGAAATAATAAAGAACAAAATCATAATCGAATTGGTGTAGTGACAAAAGAAAGACATATATATAAATAATATCACAAACAAAACAATTGTCAAACCAGAAACGATTATTTGCATGATATGTTTGTAAATTTCAGATTGCTTCATATTGGTGAGTCTCATGCCACAAAATAAATTAATCTTAATATTGAATATATAAAAAGTGTTTTAATCCAGCGTTGACAAATTTCAACTGTACTCAATACAATCTGCTAAACTACTGGTGTGTGAAATCTTAATGCCATATTTACCCATATATCACTAGACTCACCAGAATTTTAACAATATTTGAGAGATTATCCAGAGGGAAGTCAGGCAAACCCAAAGAAGCAATCTCTTCTGATCTCAGCGTTGTTGCAAAAGATAATAGTTGTGACAGTCTGAAGAGAAAGAGAAATGTGGGGGAAGACATGGTCATAAGATTTGAGGAAAAAAAGAAGAATCTTTTTATGTAAATAAAACTGACCCACATACATCAGATTCACTATACAGAACAACAATTCACTCACATTTATTTTGACAAACTCCCCAGGGAGCAGCGCATGTGCACATTTATATGCAGATTTGCAATTGGATCCGATGACCAGGTTTGATAAAAATTACAATGTAAAGTGCTTAGAAATGTAGTATAATCAAGCGCTATACAGATGCGACTATTATCATTATTATAAAAAGAAATACTGCACTGAGCATGAACACACAAGTTACATATCAAACAAAAACTGCTTGAAAATGACAACATCATACCAACCTTTCTGAAGGAACGGCACTCCCCTCTTCTGATAATGCTTGTAAATGGTCCTAGTTGGAGACATTAGATGAAACAAAATAAAATGACATAAACTGATTCGTAGCAATAGCAAAACAATAAACCGTTTCATCTACCATTATCATTTACAGAAGCATCAAATAATTAATAATACTGTCTTAGCACTCTACTTTTCTGATAATACTTGTAAGTGGGCCTAACTGGTGGCATTAGATGAAACACAATTATCACCCCATCCCAATACACCCATTTCATTTTAATACTGTCTTTAATAGTCACCTACTGTAGTCTCAACAGTACTAATAAGGTTCTTTCTGACGGCCCTACAATCAGATTACATTATATAAATATTACAAAATTAATCACAATAGAATTGATAATGTTTGACATTTCCAAAGCTCAACACAGACTATGATCAAGCATACTTCTGTAATAGTTGAATTACTCCTTGCCACTCCAGTACAATTGCCTTTCTTTCAATGGCATGTACATGTATATACCGGTAGTGCATTTATTTTCCATTCAAGTTATTAGGCTACAGTATTTATTCATGATTCATAAAATAAAATAAAAATCAGAAATATCAGAACCGAATCTCACCCTGAATGCAAGTGGGTTGACATCTCTTGCTTGGAAGCGAGACCGAAGGGGCGGGTCTAGGGGATTCCCCCGGTACTTGGGGACTGGCAAGCCTAGTGCAATCACACGGAAGTCCTCATTCACTCTCACTAACTTCCATCTTTCTAGTTCTTCTTTTGTGTGGTCCTAAAGAAAGTGATAATAAATATATGAACAGAAAGGTGAATCACTGAATTCATTTTGCAATACTTAAGGCCAAGTCAAAGGTATTAGGTCATCTGGGGGGTGTACACAAAGATCATAAGTTGAACTTATCTCTTAGTTGGACTCAACAATTATGGAAATTCAATAAAAGTATTCAAAAAGTATTTAAACAATACTATTCCAGACTTCTTGTAGCTGTTTTTTTTAAATATTTTTTTTAAAAATAAATAATTTACTTGTCTAGCTTTCTCTCTTGTATATATATCGTAAATATTTCTCTCCTGTTGCTTGTTTTATTCGAATTTGTTCTAATCATTATTGTAAAATCTTATTTTGCTGTAAGTTTTCCTTACTTTTGTAATATCTGTTTTCATGTTTTCTATGTCTATAGGGACCCCTCTGTAAACCAGCATTGTTATGCTAACAACGCTGAGTAGGGCCATCCCTCCGTCTTTCTTTTTTATAAGTGTGTCTTTATGATTGTAAATATATATATGTTGATGTATTTTTAAATGACGGAAAATAAATACAATACAATACAAATACAATACAAAGCTGTTAGCATCTATAAAAATATTTTGTAAAATTATTTAAAAAGGCATAAAATGTTGATTCAAATCATTTATATTTTCTGTTATCAAGGAGATTTCATGTTCTTGATGTGGGACTTATAAGAAGTCTAAAATCCTTGAATTTTCATTTTTTAATGTATTGTATTTTAAGACTACAAATGGCTCTCCAAAATGTTTAAGTCTTTACTGTCACAAAAAACACACACCTTCAGAAACAGGAAAAGAATAGAAATACTGTAAGCTCTTAAGCATACATAGTATCAAACAACCATTCAGGCTTAATAAGCAATGACAATCATACCTTCAGCAGCTTATCGTAGCGTTCACTGGCAACCAGAAACCGACCATCCTCCAGCTGCATCTCTCTGTTCTCCAACAGGTTGTTTAAGACTGGTAACACGTTCCTCTCTGCCTTCTCAATGCCTTCTAAAATCAATACCCTGCCCTCTGTAGCTGCTCGTACGGCACACTGAGAAAGGATAGAGAGAATGGTCATCAATCCATTGTGACTTAAAAAATAACATGTCATTATCAATTTAGAAATACAAATATGAGGGGTGTGGAGAGAAAAACTGGGGGGGGGGAGAGAGAGAGAGAGAGAGAGAGGGGCAGTATAAAGATTGACAGAGAGAGTGGCAGACAAAGAAAAATAATAAGTAATAATAGAGGAATTAATTGAATGAAGACTATGAATAAAGACATCAAATTACCTTCAGTTTCTGGGGGGGGGGGGGGGGTCATTTCAAAGAAATTGTGAAAAGGAAAAGGATAGGGTCAAAGGGAAAGGAAGAGTTAGGAATGGAAAGTTTGTTCTTTTATGGTGGTCAGTTGGATACTTTTTGTTGCTCAGCCTTTTACCAAGTGTGAGATAGGGGGTCCAGACAAAGAACACAGCAAAGCCGTCTTTATAGCATTCAACAAGATAAACCTGATGCTGTAAGAATAAATGTATGCCTCACCTGATCAATGTAAAATGCTGTACTTGATTTGATTTCTCTTCTTTGTTTCAAGTCTGATTCTGTGGTATCTCTAGACAGGGCCATGTACTCCACTTCTCGCTTCGTCAGTTCCTGAATACCAGACAAAATAAAGAGTAAATGAGAGGTGGTAATATGTTGTTGTTGTTTGGTATTATCGTTGTTCAATAATAGTGGAGTCTTTATATAGCCCTCATGTCTGGCACATTGCCACTCCTGGTGCTTCCTAATCATTACCCTGGCTTTAGCACGGCTCAAGCATTTCAAGGAACTCATTCCTGCCAGGTACCCATCTACCTCACCTGGGTGGAGTGTGGCAATTGTAGATTAACGTATTGCCAAAGGACATTAGTGCTGCGACAGGAATTCAAACCCTGTACCTTGCAGTTTACTGTCCAGAGACTTATCCACTGGACCACAACACCTCTACATTGTCAATGCATATTGATTCATAGTAGACAAAGAACATAAGCTGGTAAATTCTTACGCACAAAGTACCGGTAGTATTCATTTATAAAGTGAGTGACTAAACTCTTGACATGCCACACAAATAAGCCCCTGTGGCACATGATATTTTTCATGGGATACATGTAGAAGTATTAATACCCCGCTGTACTACTTATAGCTACTTGCGCTACTGTATAGCAAACAATGCCTAATAAGTGCCTGTTGGTCCCCCATGGTCCCCTTTTTCTTATGTAAATTGAGAGCTGATTTGATGAGATAACCACCTGTCAGTGACCTTGCAGGGAGGTCTACTCCTCCTTACCAAACTAGTACAGACGAGCTTTAAAAGCTTCAAGGTTATTTAACAGTTTCAACTGCAAGATTAATCTATACCGGATATAAAAGGGTAATTATGGAAAGTCACTGTCATCCTTCTGTCCATTAGTTTTTATTATTTTGTTCAAATTTGCAAATATGGCAGCAACAAAGAAAGCAACCAAAGTGTTTTATTTTACTTGTATAAAAAATCTATGACTGAACACATACAATTAAAAGCCAATAAGTGGCAAGTTTCATCAGAGATGTTTTAAACAACTTCAAATCTTTAAATGTTTATTGTTGCTGCTAAACGAAAGCGACTTCTCTTCTTGTTAACAGAATAAGACCCAGGGACCATATTCTGAAAAACTCTATTACGTTTAATATTTAAGAAAAGTATGTTAATAATTTTAATAAATTGAAAGTGTGTGGAATAAACAATTATTATTGATGCCTGTGTAAACACAAATGCTGCATATCTTTGCACAGCCTCAAAGCAAAGATGTGTCCTAATTTTAATTTGTAATATCAACAAATATTATATTAAGAACATCTTCAGCACAAGCGCTACTTGAGCATGTGATTTGAAGTGCATTTGTAGCCTTACAAATCTTATACATGACTATAAAATACTTTTCAGAGTACCACAGACCTGGTTTCCTGTCTTTTAAAGGACTATAGAAACTACTAGTAATCTATTAATAATAACTATGCAATACAAAGTTGTTAGAACCACTTGGTTGCAAGTGCTTCATCTAAGTACACTGCACGCACACTGATATCATGAAGAACCAATATTATTGTTTTGAAACTATCCCAACTTCTTCTATTATTGGTTAACTTCCACTTTCTATTTCACTGTACATATTAACTCATGTCTCTTCAGTTTTCCTAAAGGTCTAAAGGAATACACAATAGGAGGCTGTAAGCACTACTTGGCTGCAAATGCTATTGAGTTTTTGTTACATCTATTAGTACACTGCACGCACACTGATATCATGAAGATCCAATATTATTGTTTTGAACTCTATTCCAATTTCTTCTGTTATTCGTATACTACTACTTTCCATTAGCCATTATTACAGACTAACTTATAGCTGTTCACTGTTCAGGTTTCCTAAAGGTCTAAAGGGATACACTCTGTCCCCTCAAATTGGCAACACATATTTGTATTTAACGCTCTTTCATAGTTTGAAAAATATTTAAAATGTGTACAAAGTTAACCAATGTGCAGGGCAATTGCAGAATTTAACCCCTAAATTGCAAATATGTACATAAAAAAATGGTGATTACAAATTTCACTTTGTGTTGCCAATCTAGAGACTTTAATGATTAGTTACAACTAAATGGCTCTTATTTGAGAAATACATTGAAATACTGCATTTGAAATAGCTTATTTATTCATATTTACTAGAGGTATGAATAATTTAGTTGTTAACTTTATTTGCTGCTTCTGCTACAGACTACTATCAATCAATCATAATGCAATTGACCTTTGGACTTTGGACTTTCAAATAGTCTCATCCTTGGATTCCCTTGTGACCTACTTATCATTAATAAACAAAGCAAAATATGCTGCAGAAATATAAGTGAAAGGTTAGATGCTTAGAAGTATCGGCTTGCATGGTGATATAGATATACATGTTCAGTAGGCTTACGGTTGCACCATGAGAGAGAGAGAGAGGAGGAGGGGGGGGGGGGGGGGGAGGATTGGGGAGTCCTAAAAAGGACTGTTGGTAATCTTTCTTGTGTGTGTGTGTGTAGTCCTAAAAAGAACCTTGATAGTCATGGAAGGACTGGTGTAATCTTTCTTGAGCTTATAGTTCTAAAGAGAACACTTTTCTATTCAATTTTCATGAAATTACAATCACAATTTTATTGATTTGTCTTTTTTCAATAAAAGGGTATGATGCAAAATTTGTTTACAAACAGAAAATTGAAAGTTTCACTGTAAGAATTACAAACTCCAGATTTATTGTATAATTTCATATATTCTTGGAGGAAACAAAATTCTGTCTCAAAAGTACACGTACATGTATGTATCTACAGTTCCTGAGCAAACTAAGTAAATATTTTTGACATGTTACGAGATGAATAAACTTCTATCCTTTTCTAATACCTTTGATATCGAAGACTAAGTATGAATGCAACAAAAAACAAAAAAATTGCCTGAAGTACATGTATGTGCAAATGCCATTCTAGGATAATTGCTTGCAGTCTGCTCTTCTTTATTCCCTTGTCACTAACTGCAGCTTAGTTTGATATAAAGTGAGAGCCCAAAATACTTTCACTGTGTTTGAAAAGACAATTAGACTATCAGCTTACCAAATACTGCATAGCAATAGCTCTACGTAGTGGTCCGGGGGCTCCTATAAGAAAAACATCCTGACCTAATGAATCCTGTGAAAAAACAAAAAGACAACAAAAAAAAAAAATAGGAAAAGATGCAAGCTGTCTGAGATATATGTATAATATTCGAAAGAAACATATAAACACACAAAAAGTGATGAAATTAAAATGACTGTAAAACGAAAACTTGACGGCATGACAAATTCTTGATTTGTAATGGGGACAAATTTCACTGTAAGGTACTTTGGCTAATCCCAAAAGATTCAGTGCTGCGTCACTAATGACCCAGTTATCTCATGGCATGACACCTGAATCTTAACCAATAAGGAAATTCATGAACATTTCCTGAGCACCAAAGGTTCTGGTTATAGATTAATTGGCAAACACATGTACATGAGCTGTATGATGAATCAAGCATCTCTCTAGAACCGTACTGATGTCTTTTCAATATGCTCTTCATAGAGTTATCATACCCAATCTTTATGTTTTCCTTACCTGGAAATTCATTAAATAGAACAAATTTGTGCATGCTGTTTAACAGTACATGCAACATGGTCAGAGAACATTCATGTTATCATCAACCCTCTACTACTACTGACAATTCTTTCATACTTTAATGATCACCTTATTTCATAATTTACAGCGGAAGAAAGCTTCTGTACTACCAGTGGCCGGATTAGAAAATAGTACTGGTACCACCATGCTAGTATCTTTTGATACACATTAAAGGGACTTGGTAACATTGTTCAGATGAGAGAACATGGTGCTAAGGTAGTGACTTCAATGCGAGTAACAATTAAAGATAGTCTGAAAGTTTGAGTGAAAAAAGACCATTATTAATTAATGAACAAATTTGGGAAAAACTGATCTGATTGGATCTAAATTCTCCCACTTTATTATCATAATTTAGTTAATTTCAGGTGAATGTAAATCGTCACAAAGCAATGAATACGATATAACATTCCAAACATTTCAGAGTCGAAAGAGTTTTTAAAGCCTATTTTATGTCTCATTATGGAATAATGGTTGGGAGAATTTACTGTTAGAGGGAGTTACACATAACGCCTTCAAAGAAAACCATAAATATCTTTGTGGTTTGAGAAATATTTTGCATGTTAGAGGGTCAGGACAGTAGAAGGAATATAAAAAGTAACATTTCATACAAAAATCAGGCAGTTTTTATCATCAACCTTCAACAATGTTACCGGTACACTTTAATGTCACTGAATATCACATACCTTCTGCATGATCCATCGTAGATGTCTTAGTACTGACTGAGGGACGTTCTCTGGCACTGGAAGAAAAGAAATCAAGTTTGGATACAAGCATCATTGTTATGATCTTAAGACTAATATAAGAAAAGACAAGTTCAATGTACTGCATGTATCTACAGTCAAACCTGCTTTAGTGACCACCTGTCTACAAAGACCATATTCTTTGTTTCCCTTGAAAGTGGTTTCTCATTGAAACATGTACTGAAGGAACCTGTACATAAAGACCACCTGCCTATAGAGACCACTTTTATTGTCTCCCTTGAGTGGTCTTTAAAGACAGGTTTCACCACATGTATATCCACCAAAACACCCCTTGTCTTTCTTTTCTTATTGGTCAGCTACTTCGATTCTACTCACTTTGACAAATTCAATTTTACTTGTTTTTTCAGTGTGCCATGGAATAACCCTGCAATTCTAAGATATGACAATTCACTTGACTACTTGAACAAATAAGAAGCTAAAACATACCTCTACAATTAATGAATTTTCTTTTTGAATATAAAAATGGGGCAACACCTTGTGTGCTATGGAAAAGGTACCACACAAATCAAATTAGCATGACCTAGAAATGTATAGCTTTGGTTTGAACTCCAACTGAACATTTAAAACCCATTGCATATCTGGGAACCAAGAAGAGCCTGAGTAAAGTCTATATATATCATGTTTTCTCAAAAGTCCGGACTAGGCCTGCATCTGGACCACAATGCATATCAATCAGGACTCACAGACTGCCCATGAGGCTCTGCTTCTTCTCCTTTTTAATTGTAACCATTGCCCCTAGATCGATTATAGACCTGAAACAAGCCTCATTTTCTTCCATATCACAAGTGTCATTACTGTAAATTTTAGGAGTAGACTGTCTATATCTGAAACTGAAACAAAATTGAAATACTGTGTGAGTCATGTCTGGCTTTCCAGCAATTAAATGTACATTGTCCTACTTGACTTGACGTATGAGAATGACCATAGGAATTTTCCCTTGAGCTGCGTCCCATGTTTCAGAGCTATTAGCTTTCATGGATCTCACACCTGGGGGGTGTTTCACAAAGATCCCAAGTCGAACTTAACTCTAAGTTGGACTTAAATATTATGGAGAGCCATTTGTAGCCTTAAAATTAAATATGTTCAAAGCAAAAATTCAAGTATTTTAGACTTTTTATAAATTCCAGATCAAGAACATGAAATCTCCTTGATAATAGAAAATTATGATTGATTTGAATCAACATTTTATACCTCTTAAAAAAACTTTTACAAAATATTTTCAAAGATGCTAACGGCTTTCCATAATTTTTCAGTCTAACTTAGAGATAAGTTCAACTTAGGATCTTTGTGAAACACCCCCCTGGTCCATCAAGGAAAAAGTTTGAGAACCCCTGGTCTATATTATGGGATGCAAGAAATAAATAGTCCATCCATGATCATCCATTCACGTAAATACTTACAGTATTTGTGAGGTACCAGTTCTCTTCTTGCTGGTTCTTTGATCGTCTTGGTAACCCCTCCTAATGATACAGACTTTCCATCTGTTGGGAGAGAAAAAAACGATCAAATTGACTGATTTTGTTTAATTTTTAAACTACTATGCATTTATCTATATAATGAGAATGTTGAAGTGCTATATGTCTATTTTCTCTATACCAGTACTCGTTTACGTTGTACTTGTATGTATCATGTCACAAGTACATTTTATTTATTTTTTTCTGTGAATAATGCATTTAAACGCAACAACTATCCTTTTGGACCAATACATCTGAATTGAATTTAATGCAGGGGTGGCAATTTCCCAGGAAATACTAAAAGATACTGGTAAATACCGGGCAAATGCTGGATGACACTGGGAAATACCCGGGAAATACTCATACACACACCATTGAAATTGTATAATGTGAAATATCAAATGTAGCAATCTGACTGAATTCAATTAATTACACTTCAAAAAATGTTCTGATTTTACTGAAGTGGTTGTGTAGTACTCTTTTGATTTGTGTGTCTTGAAAAGGAGTAGGTACATGTGTTCTTGCAAGAAAATCATGAGTGGTTTCATTTTCATTTTATTCTTCCATGTTAAGATCAAATCAAAATTATACAATGTTCAATACAAACATATATAATGATATATCTAAAGTGGGAGGATCATCAAAAGAAAATACATGTAAATGGTTTGTTTAAAACTATCCTCACAAAATATACAAAAAACAATTACTTTCTTACCAAAAATCAAGATGACAAAAAAAAAGAAGGAAAAATGAAGAAAATAGAGAAAAGAAGGAGGAAACATTGTATAACATAAGTATTATAATTTATCAAAAATAATTTGGAAAATTGCAAAGGATTGTGAAGCATTTGAGTTTGCAAAGCAATGTTAACATAAACTTAGATCAACTATATAACAACAAAAATCGTTAAAGAGGAAATCATTATAAGTGAGCATTCATATATCAATGTAACATGCAATGCCATACAAAGAAATAATTTAACTCAACAAACACCAAACTTTAAATGTAATACTTGATGACTGGAATGCTAAGTGACAGGGACAATGAACAAGGAGAGATTGTAGGAGTGTCAGTGAGTTTTTTTCATATCTTTTAACAAATTTTTACCAGCTCTCCCCTTTTTTCCTCTTTATACTTTTGCCATATGAAAAGGCTTGTGTATTGCCCTTTGGGACTGACCCAAAAATCTTAAAATCTTTTTTTTTTTAAAACCATTTTTTAGAAGCAAACAAATTTTAATGAATACAGAAACATCTATTGAAGCATTCAAGGCTGAAATATATCAGCCCAAAGAAGGGAAAAAAAGCAAGAAATGAAAATTGACCGACCGACCCGGCCCAGGTGCTGGCTTGTAAAGGGCAATAATTTTTGTTTAGGCCTGCATGTGCCCCCTCTTTATGGCCCCCACGGCTATGCCACTTGCTGTATTCATATCTGACCTGTTGAGTAGACGGCCCTACATCTGAGATTAGGGATGACAAGCGCCCCCTGCTGTTGATTTCCTTGTAGAAGACCGTGCAGCTGACGAAGCCTCCGCACAGACTGCTCTGAGGTCATCCTGGCCACCCGAAACATTGGAGTTGCTAGGTTAGATTACTCTCATGCAATACCTGAAAGTCAAATAAAGTCAAGGTCACTTTAATAAAAATGGCATCTCAGGAAAAATAAGGAAATGCTAAAGTAATAAATGAATATAGATCTAGATCTACTTCAGTTTATCTGCTCATGAATGTGAAAGTCGACTCAAGGTCACTCACTATTTTTCTGTTTGATATTCGAGTTGATTGAACTTCTTGTCTCTTGACAATGTGCATTACATGAAATATTATCAATTATAATATAAATGCAATACTCTAGCACTTTGATAATTCAATCATTCATGACAAGCAAGCAGCCAGATGATCTTTCACTCAGTCTCACTCCAGCGAGTGTGATCACACTCGGTCACTGCACTCAGCATGTTCAGTCATCAGTGACTGTCAATTTTCAGAGACAGAGTTGAGCTGGCTTCATCATGTTCATTAAGGAGGTTTAAACAAAAATCTGCTACATCAAAATTCAATGAAAGCTCAGAATCGATTGGTAGTGCAAAAATATAACGAATGAGTAAATTTGAGTGTAGGTGTAGATTTAGTTTTCATAAGAGGGGTTAAAATGTTTGCGTCCCCGACGTTATGACAACCATCGGTCCGTCTTCAGGTCTTCCGCCTGAAGATTGGGCGGAGACGAACGCTGCAGTCCGCTCAAGGTACGGAGCCGAACAGGCTTTCGTGATTGTCAAAAAATGTAATTATTCGGAACGAATCAAACTAAATTAATGAAAAATAACACCCCATTGGATATACCACAATAATATCAAATGAAATGTTCTAATGGAGTGAAAACAATTACTACTTACTCGGCTGGAATTGACGAATATCTGAGCGCGTATCATGCAGCACCGTACCGGCTTCGAGAAATATTTACGCCATCTACGATTACTGTATGCATAAAATAACAACAGCGCTCCTGGTTTACGGGGGGGGGGGGGGGGGGGGGGGGGGGGGGGGGGGGGGGGGGGGGGGGGGGGGGATAAATAAGTGGCCTACCCCCTAGATCCAATCAGAATTTCCTTAGATTTGGTAAAATTCTTCATTATGCTCAGGTTTCCCCTCTCATATTGAAAAATGGCAAATGGACATGGGTTTCAAGAGGTAAGATTCAAATTGTGCAATGGAACTAAAACTTATAATTACCTCAAGAGAACGAATTGAAATACGGTCTATATCCATATCCTACTATACCTCCGTTGTATAGTTTTTTTAATTGAATTAATTATGATTTGTGGAGATTATTTTAAATTTCTTTATCGTTTCTAGGGACTTCCTTTAATCTATTCTCAGTGTAGGATGAAAAGGGCCAATGCCTCCCTGTTGGAAGGTCCAGCATAAAGACATACAACAAAAAGATGAGGTAGCTACATTCCACCCCAGGCGCGGATCCAGGATTTCTTAGGGGGGGGGGGCCCAAATTTGAAATTATGCGAGCCAAATATTGGTACGTTATGGTGACCAACGACGTAATGCGGGGGGGGGGGGGCGAGTTCCCCCCTCCCAGGCTTTGACGTTTCATTATATTATTAGAGAAAGAAGACGATTCGTTGTACCGTTCTCGAAAATAATTTTCGTCTGAATTTAGTTTTTCCCCTCCCGCGCGAAGCGCGGAAAATTTTACGACTTATCCAATTATTAGAGAAAGAAGACGATTCGTTGTACAGTTCTCGACTCTTAATCCTTGTTTAAATTCAATCCCCCCCCTCCCCCTCCTGCGCGAAGCGCGGAAGCTTTGACGTTTTATTAAACTATTATAGGAAGAAGACGATTCATTGTACCTTTCTCGAAAATAATTCTCGTTTGAATTTAGTTTTTCCCTCCCGCGCGAAGCGCGGAAAATTTTACGACTTATTAAATTATTAGAGAAAGAAGACGATTCGTTGTACAGTTCTCGACTCTTAATCCTTGTTTAAATTCAATCCCCCCCTCCCCCTCCTGCGCGAAGCGCGGAAGCTTTGACGTTTTATTAAACTATTATAGGAAGAAGACGATTCATTGTACCTTTCTCGAAAATAATTCTCGTTTGAATTTAGTTTTTCCCTCCCGCGCGAAGCGCGGAAAATTTTACGACTTATCCAATTATTAGAGAAAGAAGACGATTCGTTGTACAGTTCTCGACTCTTAATCCTTGTTTAAATTCAATCCCCCCCCTCCCCCTCCTGCGCGAAGCGCGGAAGCTTTGACGTTTTATTAAACTATTAAAGGAAGAAGACGATTCATTGTACCTTTCTCGAAAATAATTCTCGTTTGAATTTAGTTTTTCCCTCCCGCGCGAAGCGCGGAAAATTTTACGATTTATTAAATTATTAGAGAAAGAAGACGATTCGTTGTACTGTTCTCGACTCCTAATCCTTGTCTAAATTCAGCCCCCCTCCCCTCCTGCGCGAAGCGCGGAAGCTTTGACGTTTTATTAAACTATTAAAGAAAGAAGACAATTCGTTGTACCGTTCTCGACCCTTTATCCTCGTCTGATTTCAGTCCCCCCCCCCTCCCGCGCGAAGCGCGGAAGCTTTTACATTTCATTAAATCATTAGAGAAAGAAAACGATTAGTTGTACAGTTCTCGACTCTTAATCCTTGTCTATATTCAGTTCCTCACCCTCCCCCTCCTGCGCGAAGCGCGAAAGCTTTGACGTTTTATTAAACTATTAAAGAAAGAAGACGATTCGTTGTACCGTTCTCGACTCTTAATCCTCGTCTGAATTATGCCCCCCCCCTCCCGCGCGAAGCGCGGAAGCTTTTACATTTCATTAAATTATTAGAGGAAGAAAACGATTCGTTGTAAAGTTCTCGACTCTTAATCCTTGTCTAAAATCAGTCCCCCCCCCTCCCCCTCCTGCGCGAAGCGCGGAAGCTTCTACGTTTCATTAAATCATTAGAGAAAGAAGACGATTCGTTTTACAGTTCTCGACTCTTAATCCTCGTCTGAATTCAGGTTCCCCCCTCCCGCGCAAAGCACGGAAGCTTTTAATCTTCATTTAATCATTAGAGAAGAAGACGATTCATTGTACCGTTCTCGAAAATAATCCTCATCGGAATTTAGTTCCCCCTCCATCCCGCGCGAAGCGCAAAAGCTTTTACGTTTCATTAAATAATTAAAGATTCGTATTACCGTTCTCGCCTCTGAATCTGAATCCTCGTCTCAATTCAGCCCCCCCCCTCCTCCTCCCCTCCTGCGCGAGAAAGAAAACGATGCGTTGTACCGCTCTCTATACTTTTAATCCTTGTCTGAATTTCAAAGAGGTGGGGTCGAGGCGGCGGAGCCGGCCCCCGGAAGCCCAGCGGTTTTAGGCGTTTAATTAAGGTCAGATGAGCATATTTTTGTGTATACCTTATTATTTTGTGACACTGGCAAGTCACTATTTGGCGTGGGGTCCAGGGGGCGGAGCCCCAAAAAATCAGGAGTTTTAGGCATTAAATTACCGTCAGATGATCATCTAAGAGGCCGCCGTAGGGCCCTAGATGGAATCCAGGGGGCAAAGCCCCCGGAAGCTTAGGGGTTTTAGGCATTTAATCACGGTCAGATGAGCATATTTTGATGCCTCGAGGCTCTTGATCCCCGCCGTACCTCGGGCCCTGACATGTAGGAATCTCAAGAATCATATTTTTTGCCTGGTTGTAAATTTAGGAATTTTTTTTTATTTTCCAACAAACACATACAAACGTATAATTTACTAAAAAGTGAGGAAAAATTTCGGAAATTGTGTCATTTCAGCATTATTTGTAATACACCGTTGTGGAATCAGAAATAAACCACGTTTGAATTTGATTTCCCCCAAGCCCCCCCCCCTCTATCAGTACGCCAGTATCTCCCTTTTTTTTCTTTCCCTTTCCTTGGTTCTCTCTTATTTTTTTGTTGATGGGGGGGGGGGGGGGTTAACAGCCTGGGAGGCAAGGCCCTTTCGGCCCCCCCCCCGATTTCCTTCTTCCCCCTTTACTTTTCTTCTTCCTCTTCTTTCTTTCCCTTTTCCCTTTCTCCCTTCTTTTCCTTCTTCTCTCTTTTTTTTTTTTTTTTTTTTTTTTGCGGGGGGGGGGGGCCAAGGCCCGCTCGGCCCCCCCTGGATCCGCGCCTGTTCCACCCCCCTTCTAGCTGAAAGGAGCCCCTTCCTAACCAAAGCTTTGTGATGTATAGACCCTAGCAGTGGCGTAATGAGCAAAAACGGTTTTTTTGGGGGGGGGGGCTGACAAAAAATCTGCATCACCCCACTCTAACATGCAGGCCCTGATGAACGTTTTCAAAGTGGAGTCTAGGGGCAAAGCCCCGATGCTCAAGGGATATGGGTATCAGTGGCGGATCCAGGAATTTCTTACCGGGGGGCACAAAATGGCATGGAGTGAAATATATGTAAAACGATGAAGCGACAGAGCGAGGCTTTAGCGGCGAAGGGGCGGAGCGACCAAGCCAATTTTATAACCACATTAGACGCATTTTCAGGCACTTCCTGGAGCAATATAACGTAAAATTGCTTTCTCCTACCCCTCCAAGAGTAGGGATCTTTGTAATTTGAGAACCACATTTGGCGCATTAATGTCCAGCGGCACTTCCGGAAAAAAACGAGGCCTTCTGACTGGTTAGAAGTTAGGGAAAAGTGATTTGTTGTTATTAGGGGCGTCGCAAGATCTTTTTCAAGGGGGGAGGGGCGAGGGTGTAGGGGCCACCGATTACCGACAAAACGAGCCACCAATTACCAACAAATATATCAATGCCAATGTCCTAATGTCTACAAATTTAACCCTTAAACCCGGGGCCAGGAACTAAGTTATTTTTCCCTCCCGCGCGAAGCTCGGAACCTTTGACAGTTCATTAAATTATTAGATAAGAAGACGATCCGTTGTACAGTTCTCGAGTCTTAGTTCTTGTTTCGCCCCTCCCGCGCGTAGCGCGGGAGCTTTCACATGTCATTACATGTATAGAGAAAGAAGACGATTCATTGTACCGTTCTCGACTCTTAATCCTTGTCTGAATTCAGTTGCCCCCCTTCCACGCGAAGCGCGGAAGCTTTGACGTTTCAATAAATTATTACTCTTAATCCTTGTCTGGATTCATTTTCGCCCATAGGCGCCGGAAATTGGGATGGCAGGGGGGGGGGGGGCAGTTCCCCCAACCAAAAAAGTGGTGGGCATTTTTGCCCCCCAATACGCCCCCTCCCCCAAAAAAGAAGGAATAAAGATGGTTTGTATTTCTAACCCCAAAGAACATAACAATAATAACATCTGAATTAAATCACATATGAAAATGTGAAAATGGAAAGTTAACAGGAATAAAATTTCCTTCACATTGCGCATGCCACCTATATTTTATCAATGGAGGTTTTTATAATAGCGATGAGAGAATGGGAAAGCGTGTCTGTTTTTTGTTATAGGGGTGAGAAGAAATGAGCCCCTGAACGCTGGCGTACTGATGGGGGTGGGGGGGGGGGGGGGGTTATTTCTTATTCGATACCAATGATTTACAAATGTTGCTGAAATGGCATGATTTTTCAGTATTTTTCTTCAATTTTTGAGTAAGTCTTACCTTTTTAATGCGTTTGTTGGAAAATTAGAAATTCCCCAACTTACAGTCGGGCGAAAAATATGCTTATTTAGAAGCCTTTATGTCATAGTCTGCAAAACGGCTAGGCTCGGAGGCTCGAGCCCCCCTCACTTTTTGAAAAAGTATGTTACAGAGAAAAAGAAAGAACGAGAGAGAGAAAAAATAAGTGACCTGCTAACGTCACAAATGAGGTATCAAAATATACTCATCTGACCGTAAATTAAAGGCATAAAACCCCAGAGCTTACAGGGGCTCCGCTCCCAGACCCCACCATGGGCGCTAAGGCGGTCCTGGATGCTCATCTGACCGTAATTAAATGCCTAAAACCCCTAAGCTTCCGGGGGCTCAGCC